CAGGTCAGCATTTGTGATTATTCCTGACCTGTGTTAGGCTTAGTGTCCACTGTTGGACTGTCATGTGGAAGTAGAAACTGTTGACAATTCTCCAGTGTCTGAAAGTAAGCACACAGTGTTGCCCTGTGAATGTAACACATGCCTTTTCTGACTGAATGTGAAATCTGTGCATTTGTAGCTGACTTGAATAACTTTGATCTTCTCCTGTTATCTAAAAGCTCCAGCTTTGTATAGAGTAGTCACTCTAGCTGTAACTACACTGTATGCTGTAGCTCTCAGACTGGATTTATCCTGTGAAATATTTCCATCTAATTAATCATTTGTTTTGTTTTCTGGTGGAGGCAAACCAACTGTTTCAGTACTGGGTGGTTCCACAAATAGATAACACTCTCCATGGGAGAGCAGGGGAGAGCAGTGGCTGCTGCTGTGTCTGGGTGCATGGGGTACCACTTCCTGCTGCAGCAGAGGTAGCATGTCCCAGTAGTAGCTGACACCATCCTCACTCCATATGGGGCTGGCAGGAGCATCAGATGAGCTCTCTGTGGTGAGTTAAAATGGTGCTCTTACTGCTGAGAGCAGGAGAAAAGGATGCTGCCTTGTGACTCAGCATGGACCACTTGATGTGTGCATTGTGTGGAGAAAAATGATAAACAGAATAAGTGCTAAGCTGGAGCATGGAAATTCTGTAACCTGGGCACAAAAGACATGATAAGAACATTTCTTTTTAAGGCATTGAAGATGATCCAGCTGTGATACTCAAGTATGTTAACACTGAGAAGTCAAAGCTGCAAGTATAAGAGGTGGAGATGGAACAGTTAATGGAAAAATATTAAGGGGAACATAATGAGGCACTGTGTATAGTCCTGGTGAAAAAAAAATTATAGGTAGTGGAAGGCTGGCAAAACTGCAGTGATGTCTGCTTTCTAACACTTGTTCGTTTTCTAACAAGCCAAACAACTCTGATTAGTTCTTCCTTCTTTATTCTTGATTGTATACTTCCTTGTGTTTCTGTGACCGTGCAGTGGTTTGGATGAGGGGAAACTTTATAATTTGGTTTATTTGGTTTATTATTTATCTGGTTTATTCAGATAATTTTCTTTTGGGACTTGCCTCCTGGTCTTAATTCACTACAGCGAAGGGAGCATGCAGTTGGCATTGGGGACCTCTGCTTTGACAGGTACTGATACTTAAAGTAGAACCTGAGCCTCCATTATATCATGATTAATTGCTCAAACCATAATTCAGTAAGGTGATTTGCTCTTCCTTTGTGGCATCTACTTAGTTTTACTAGAGCAAGCACTTACAAGTTTGCATGGCAGGGAAGATAATGGAATTGACTGGAGTTTAAAATAACCATTTGTTTCTGAAGTTATTTATGAAGTAGGTTACGCACTCAATCCACCATGCAGCCCTACAAATACAGTACTGTCACAGTGGATGGATACATTAGGTCTAGGAATGAGATGTTGTCTGTGTTGGCAGTGTTGCAGAAGAGTTGTTTGTCAAACAATAGTTTTGCTTTCTTAAATTTAATATCCATTTAAAAAGTACAGATCAAACTGATCTAACACTTGAAAGTGTTGCTTCCCTGAGAGTGGTGTGTGAATAGATATTGTGAGCCCATTTTTTTAGTGGGCATTTTATGTGTGCAGGTGCTGAAGATGCTGAAAAAGTAAAATGGAGGGATACTCAATGGAGGGATACTTGCTACTAGTGCTTGGTCATGCTGAACACAATGTTTCTGAGAACTGAAGGGCTTCAAGGTCTCTAGTTCATACCCTTACTTATTCACAGTAGCAACTCTTCTTTTTGTTACAGTGAACGTGGCCAGAACACATTTCTCTTGTTTTCTCTTGTTTTCAGTATTCCACACATAGATTACTGAAACTACTGTGGAGAGTCTTACCAGTTTGAGTAGGGCCAATTGATATTGGCCAGTTTTCACTGGAGAATTTTGGTGGGTGTGGAAACTGAAATAACTTTGTCTACCTTGCAGTTACTTATGAAGCATATTGGCTGGTATTTTGATGTTATGAAGATCAGAGTATCAGATCTTAGACTGCTGCGGGTTATGTTTGAATTTTGTTTATTGATCACTTGAAACCATTATCTTATTTGCAGAAATGCCTTTATTTTCAAACTTACATATTCAGGATCAGTGAGCATGGCAACGGTTGTAAGCAATATAGTTTGGTGTCTGTGGGGAGTGTAAATGGGATCTTGTTACATAGCAGCATATGATAAGATACTATCATATGTATAGTATGATACTAAACACAACTTAGCATTTCAAGTTAAATTTTAACTAATATTTATTGTTACATCTCCACGGGGGAACTTTAGATTTTTCTGTAAGTATTCCAGACTTTTTCCTAGTTGCTGTGAGTCATTCAAGTTTTCACCTGTTCAAGGTTTTCAGGGTAAACATAATTGTTTTAAAATGCTGTAATTAACTAATTTTTGTTGTTGTGAAATGGCTTGACAGTAATAGATTCAAATAATCATTTTAATATGAAATTTCAACACATTCTTCATCTTTCAGTATACAGGAAGAAAGTTCAAACTTCAGTTTTGCTGTGCCAAACGTGACTGGAGTTTGTCTCAGAGAGTTTTGGGCTCTACATAAAGAAATGGAGAGCAAATCACAGTTGTTATCAGCCAAATACACAAACTGGACCTCTCAATCAAACAGGAGTTTGTGCTCATAGCAGTTCCACATGAGTTTATAGGATTGTTGTTTTATGAAATCTGTAATGTGTTTGAACATTGAGAAGCCAGTTCCTTGTTGGTTTGAACTGGGGGTGACTTCAGTTTAGCTGTTAGATTGCATCAGTGGAAGGACTAGCTCTGAACATATATTCGTATTTGTGCTTCTTTAAGCAGAAAAGCCATATCAGAGGCTCATAATATCTAAAATTATAGGCTGTTTACCTTTTGTTCTCAAACACTTTGGCTATTAATGAAAAATATGGTGTATCCTGGCTTATACTCAGCTGTTCTGGATGTACAGTGTGCTAATGGAAATCAGCAGTTTCTGCTTCTATAAATAGATTGTCAGCAGCTGCAGAGCAAAACTGAGGAGCTTCTGGTTATTTTTCTTATTGCCATTGAGAAATGTTTTGAATGACTGTGAAGTGTGAGGTGGTAGGTGTGCCTGCTGCAGAGATGTGCAGGCTGAGCTGAGAGTGTGGGTAGGGAGAGGGGAAGAAAGAGTACGTTTATAAGCCATCAGTGTGAGAGTAAAGGTAAAGAGCTCTCTCTTCCTTCATTTGGGAGCCTCTGAATTTGGAGCTCTTTTATGTACAAAACATACTATTCAGATGGCTAAAAGTCATGAGTTCTTAAATGGGATGTGGAGATAGCATTTATCTAACTTTGGTATAGCTGAATATAAGGCAGTTTTACAAGTGTGCTCTGTTGGAGAATATCATCATACTGTGCTCAGATAAAGCTGTCTCCTAAAATTTTCATTTCCTTCTCTGTTGTTTTCTGTCTTCTGCTGGCATGAGAAACAAACAGCCAGGCAAGAATATTTACCTTCAACAGCATTCCTTCCCTCTTGCCCTATCGTGGGAGCTCTTACATGGATGAACAGCAACTGCTGCTATCCTCCTTCCTGGCAGATGAGGAACTGGTACCAGTGTAGCCTGCTAACAGGCCAACTAAGTTACCATTGTTGTTTGTGGACACAGGAGGTTGCCAGGAAAGAAAAAGTATTGAATATCTTTCATGTGAACATTTAATTGAAGTCCTGTGCCTGTTTTTACATGTGTGGAATTGGGTTTTTTTCTTGAAAGCTAGCAATCTTCTTATAAGGGTCTCGTTACAAGGTCTTGGGAAACATCTTTGACTGTAAGAATTATTTTCCTGAAATACAGATGCACTTAGTTTCTGTGTTTCCTGAGGTACATATAATAAAAATTGATGGTAGATTCAACTTGTGCTGAAACATATGAAATAACTTTATATTCCCTTTTCTTTCTTGAATCTTGATACCCAACCTATGTAGATAATATATAAAGCAAAGGAAATAATGAAATACAGTATTATAATGGCAGATAAGAATAGAGAACATTTGTCAATTGTTGCTTTAGAAACAAAACCATCAACCTGTGAAGTGGCTGAAGATCACCTAAGACTGAAATCCAGTGTATACCAAAGCCTTGGATACTGGAAAGTTTCTTAGCATCTTAGTTGTATGTTTTGCTAGTGCTCTCATCTGTATTCTTTGTACTGACTTAGATCTTAGTGATATTAACTGTTATTCAAGGAGAAACACAGAAATCTAACAATTAGATTCTTATTATTTTTAATGTTGTTTGAAATGTACGTATGTTTTTAAACTTCTAATAGGTATCTTGGGGATTGATAGCATAAATACTTTTAGGTGCTCTACTGCTAGAAAAATGGATCGTACTAGAAAAAGTATTGACAATGGGAAAAAGCACAAAACATGTTTAAAAAATACATGGACTTCTTAATTTAAAAAAATGATTGCTCTCAATTTATTTGGCTGCCATCTACAGGGAATAATTACAGTTCTTTCACTGTGAACGACCATTTGTGACAAGAATGGGGTCTAAATAATTGGGAGAGGTGAGGAATATGGTATTTGGTAGATCCTTTCAGGCTGGTAGGTACTTCTAATTGAAATACCAAGTTTAGAAAAACTAAACAGTTCTAAGTAGTTTAAAGTCTAGGAGAAATAACTGATAAGTGCCTCAGAGTGCTTTTCAAGTTAATTGCTAAAATTCAAAAAGAAAAGTTGGACTTCAAGAGAAAATGAGCTTAATTCTTTTCATAAAGCATAGAAACTCTTAAAATACAAAGTTAGTATCTTTTGTGGAATGAATAGAAAGGAGGAAAAATAGTAACTTTTATTTAGAATTAGTTCGGCTTATATAGTTTTTTTGTCTGTAACAACAGGCAAAAGGAGTTCACTCCAAGAACCTTTGCATGAGAGACTTTATACTAAATAAACCTTTTCTTTCTGCTTTTAGTCAGCAGATAAGCAGCGAGCCCTGGAAGAAACCAAAGCCTACACAACCCAGTCATTAGCAAGCGTAGCCTATCTGATCAACACTTTGGCCAACAATGTTCTCCAAATGCTGGATATCCAGGCATCCCAACTCCGACGCATGGAATCTTCAATCAACCATATTTCACAAGTGAGACTTTTTTCCTAATTTTTTTTCTCTTTGCCTTTGACATTACATACCAAGTAAAACTCTGACGTTTTGTGAATGAGAAAAATAGTTTCATTTAAAACAGAAGGATGCATTTTTTCTCATATTCGTTCTGGGATTGGGTCTCATTATGTGGTTTTATATGAGTGTTAGTATGAGCATTTTACGTAGGATAACAGCTTAAATGTATTCTTAGCTAGTTTATTGTTTGGAGAGGGAGCCATTCTGCGTAAGTGAAAAGCACAGAAAAATCGCTAATGGTAAAATCAGATTATTATGTTAAAAAATATGAAATGGATGGCGGAAAACAGTTATTTGTCATCTTTTTACTTTTCCTGTTGCTGTAATACTGGCATCTAATGACAAAAGCATAGATGACAAAAATAGTTTGCTCCTAGCTTTTCTTAATAAAATATACTTTGCGGTGACATGGACAAAAGGCAAAATTAATATTTCATAAATTAATTGTTTATGGCTGCAGAACTCCTGCCACTGTTTGGAGTTTTCCTGAGCCACAATAAACTAAGCTACTCTAACTAGGAACCCATGTTCCATTACCACATTGATGATAGAATTTTGACCCCCAGGATGGGCTGAGAATGAATGATGAAGTGGATGTTTATCAGCCAGTGATGGATTAGAAGAGAAATTAACAGCACTTCCTGTTTACTGAATATTTTGTGTCTTAGTTGACCAATACGTTTTGGCTGCTAAGGGTTTCTTGATCTCCTTGTGGCAGTATAAATCGATAAAGGATATTGTGGCGTATAGAAAAACTTTAGAAAGTAGGAGGCATGCAAGGTAGGAGATAAGTAGATGGAATTGATCTGTTGACTTGCTGGTGCTGAAAGGGTTGCTAAGCTAGTACAGGTTTGAAACAGCGAAAGAAGTGAATAATTTTATGCTGGCTTAATGGGCTGGATTGGCTCTGACTGGATCAGATTCCAGAGCAGGTACAAATGGGTGGGGAGGATTTTTCCTTTTGTTAGTAGTATGCTATTAGATTGCCTCAGTTGTCTCATGTAACCACATAAAAATAAGCTGCAAAGTGTGATTTCTTCTCTTCTTCTTAATCCATGGACAAGTAAATCAACTTTTCCCCCCAGAAAATGTCACTAATTACTCTGTGTATGTCTATGTGCTATATATATATATATATACTCTGTGTGTGTGTGTGTGTGTGTGTGTGTGTGTGTGTGTGTGTGTGTGCTTCTTCACAGTCAAGTGCCAGCTGACACGTATTTCAACTGTTTGAGAGCCTGATGCAAAAGACAGTATACGAATAAAAATATCCCAAGTTCACTGAATTTTGCATTTTTATAAATGTGGAAAATCCATTTTGTCACACAGGATCTGTAAAATAGCTTTTGTGGAAAGAGCCATAGTATTTTAAGTTTTTTCCTCCTGAGAAGCTGATATTTATGCAGATTGAAATGCCAGGTTAGATTGTCTCTGACATTTATACAAAAATGGCTAGTTATATAAAATGGAGCACTAAATTAGGCAGTACCCAACACCTAATGAAGATGTATCTGCCAGATTTCATACGTTGTGCTTGAACAACTGAAAAAAAACTGTGGTGGTTTTTTTGTTTGTTTGTTTTTTAAATATTGCTATAAAATTGAAAATTTAGTTTGGTTTTTTTTTGGTATTTTATGTTTTTTGAGCCTGCATCATCTTGGATCCTCCCCAAATCTTCATGGAAGAAATTATGTCAGAGGAGCAGACAGTATTTGAATTTTGGATATTACATACATGAAGTGTGTTGATCCAAGTAACTTAATCAAGTTGAATTAATGTGTTCAGAAATGACTTCATCCTATGATACCAGTGTTGTACATGATTGTTATCTGTTGTCATTTCAATAGTTATTTTTCTTTTAAAAATTAATAAATTTTTTGCACAATGTCTGTGTAAATAAATTATTTATTTTGAAGAAATTTTATTACACTTCTCCTGAAATTAGCCGAACCTGCAGAAGACTTCCTTGGTCTTTTTTATATTGGGTGCAAAGTTTAGTGGACTTTTTCTAATACCACTTAAAATGCCTTGTGGTATAATACCTCATTGCCAAATTATGATTTCAGTCAGTTTGACTTGAAATTATGTCAGTAACATAGAACAGAAAACAATTTGGTAATGACCATCTGCCCACAGCGTATTATTGCATTATTGCTTTGGTCAGTAAATCTTGGTATTTAAGTTTAGAAAACACTATATGGAAATTATGATATCTCAGTGTATAATCCTGCTTTTAATTCTGATTTGGAATTCCACATATTCTCCAAAGAAGAGAGCAAAATAATTTGACGCTTAGTAAGAAAAAGTGCTTGGTTTTTTTTTCAAGTGTAGCTCAAACCAGAAGAGGCATGATCAGCTTGATAAGATAAAATATTCTGATTCTCTGTTCATTGATATAATGCCAATTTATATCACTTCAAATGCCAACATAATCAAAGAGCTGAAAAGGAAGCTGATAATCATTTGTGAGTTTTCAGATTATATATAGATCCTGAATAAGGAAATTATTACTATTGAAACTATTTTTATGCAAGTGATTAAATCCTATTGGTTTAAAAATTACAATTCACAGAGTCGGAGAATATGTTGAGTTGAAAGGGACCCACAAGGATCATTGAGTTCAAACTCCTGGCCCTGCACAGTAACCATCCCCAAGAGTCACACCATGTGCCACACTTGACATCTGTCAAGTTTGGTGCTGTGACCACTGCCCTGGGGAACCTGTTCCAGTGCCCAGCCACCCTCTGGGGGAAGAACCTTTTCCTAATACCTGACCTAAACCTCCCCTGATGCAATTGCAGACCACTGCCTTGGGTCCTGTCCCTGGTCTCCCCAGAGAAGAGATCAGTGCCTGCTCCTCTCTTCCCCTCACAAGGAAGTTGTAACTGCAATGAAGTCTCCCCTCAGTCTCCTCTTCTCCAGGCTGAGCAGACAAAATGACCTCCGCCGCTCCTTATACGGCTTCCCCTCAAGGCCTTTCCCCATCTCTGTTGCCCTCCTTTGGACACTGTCTAACAGCTTAATATCTTTCTTATATTGCGGTGCCCAAAACTGCCACGATATTCAAGGTGAGGCCGTCCCAGCGCAGAGCAGACCAGGACAATCCTCTCTGTCAGCTGGCTGATGCCTCCCAGGACACGATTGGCCCTCCTGGTTGCCAGATTCAACCTGCCATCAACCAGGACCCCCAGGTGCCTTTCCCTGGCACTGCTTTCCAGCCTCTCATTCCCCAATCTGTCTGTACATCCAGGTTTGCCCCATCTCAGGTGCAGAATCTGGCACTTCTCCTTGTTGAACTTCATATGGTTGGTGACTGCCCAGTCCTCTAATTTGTCGAGGTCTCTCTACAGGGCCTCCCTAATTACTTTGGTTTGGTCTGAAAGCTGATGAATCTGTTCTTATTTGCTGCCTTGAACCTTGTCTAGAAGTAGATGATATGCAGTGTTTTGTATTTGACTAAGAATTTAAATCCTAAGTACAGATCATATGTATAAATATTTATACTTGTTTAAAAAATTATGTTACAGCTTTTAAGTTAGCAGACACTGTGAAATGTTGCTAATGTCCAAATTCTTTAAATTAATCTGGCAGATTTTCAGATTTTAATATTTGTATATTGAGAAATGTTTTCAGGTTTAGTTACAGAATCTAATTAGCAAGGTAATTTTAAAACCTCTTCTAATTATATAAACAAGCATGTTGTCACAAAGATGAGTGGTAGTGATGAGTTATCTCCAATGGCACTGCGTGGTGGAGAAATCTGCTACATCCACCTTACACAATTTGACTCCCATGGTACTGGCTGTGAGAACAGGTATTGAACAGACTACGGACTTGGACTTCTCTGCAGTCAGCATGTGTTGCTGAGCTGGGCTGGAGCAATGTGTGTGAGCTGCTTGGTCAATGTAGGAAAGTTCACTTGGACTTTCCATTGATAAGTCAGTAAAGGCTTGTAACCTTTTTCAGTTGTCTTATTCTTACAAGGTAGAAGAATAGTGAAACTTTCAAAAATAGCAATGTGAGGCTAATTTTACACAGTATATATTAGCTGTTTATGGAGCAAGTAGCTTTTCAGCATTTTTGTAACATTATGATCTCTTTCTTTGTGTGTAAATTGCATACAACTTGACTTGAGACAATTAATGTCACATTTCCAACATGTCAAAATTAGGCAGTTACTAATTTTAAAGTAATAATCTAGTTTTCAAGGTAATTTGCAATTAGTTTGAATTGCATCAAATAAGATTAATAAAAAAATAAAAGTCCAGCAACACTATATTTAAGCAACGTTTTTCTTCTAAGATTTTTTTTAAACTGAATTTTAAAAGCCCAGACTAACAGACCGACAATAAATTAATAAATTTAACTTAGAATGTTTTGAGAAGAGGAAGAAATGAGGGCTTCTGGAGACTTTTATTTCTGAAATTTCACTGCAGTTCAGACTTTCAAAGTGCTGTTGTAGTTTGACCCCAGCTGCCAACTAAGCACCACATGGCTGCTCACTCACTCCCTCCTGCCAGGCTATGGATAGAAAATCAGAAGGGTTAAAGTGAGAAAACTTGAGATAAAAACAGTTTAATAATTGAAATATGATAATAATGATAATAAATTGTAGTGAAAAGGAAGATAACGGAGAGATATAAAACCCAAGAAGAAATGACGCAAATGAAAACAATTGCTCACCACAACTGACCGATGCCCAGCCAGTCCCCAAGCAACAGCCCCCCCGGCGGCCTCCCCCTGCTTTGTGCTGCTGACCCTGACACCACATCCTTGGGGTATCCCTTGGGTCAGCTGGGCCTGCTATCCTGGCTGTGTCCCTTCCCAGCTTCTTGTGCACCCCCAGCCTACTCACTGGTGGGGTGGGATGGGGAGCAGAAAAGGCCTTGACTCTGAATAACCTCTGCTCAACTGTAACTGAAACATCCCTGTGTTATTCACACTGTTTTCCTGCACAAATCCAAAACATAACCTCATACTGTGAAGAAAATGAACTCTGTCCCAGCCAAAACTAGCACAAGTACTAACTTAACACTTTGAGAAATTTCACTTACCAGTAGAAGAGAGTATTTCTCAAAACTCATGAATTCAGTGACTTTTAAGTTAAGTTGTAAATAGTGTTAATTTTACGGAAAATCCCAGAAATTATTTAATGCTTTTACTGTTTTAATATTTACAGATCTTGAGACTGTTTTTATTTAATCCAGTATGGAAACATGATGTTTCAAAATGGCCAGAAAATTCCTAATAGAAAAAGAATGCAGTGCTTCATACTTATTTTTCCCCTTAAGCTGTCCCTTCTCTTATTGCAGGGATCTTGGAAAGCATATGAAAAGATGATAGTAATGAGCCTAATCCCTAACAAGCTGTCATTTAAAAACTTTTGCCAAAGCTAATGCAACTATGTGAAAAAAAAATTTAAAAAGCATAATAGTGCTGTCAGGAGTCCAAAATTTCATGTTAGAAAACAGGGTTTGAAGTTATAGAAGGGACTGTGTATCTCATCTCCTTTTCCTAACAGCCTTTCCAAACCAGATGTTTTGTTAGTCCAGCTCTAACCCCAAAAACTTCTCAATAGAACTTTCTAAACTGCTGAATAAACTTTCTGCTAGCATTCTTCTTTCTCACTTAAGGGATTTATGCTACTACTGGAGGTAATAATTACCTGTGTGTTGAGGATAAATGTTTTCATTTTCTTCAGCAGCAGGTTAATCTTTGTTACTTCTGCTACTAATCGAATACTTCAGTGTTCCTTTCTGCTGTTTTATAGATGTATTAAGATCTCATGACTTCAGCAGTTCTAAACAAGAAAATGAAATTTTTGAAAAACTGCCAGCAAAATGCTTTTCAATACAATTTTAGATGTATGGACCAGAATTAAATGCAGTTTTTATACTTTTAGTCATTCCCTAGCTGTTCAGGTTAAAAGAGATGTTCTGAATCAAAATGCAAGAGAAATCCCATTGGATGAACTTCAGGTTTTAATTAGGCTTTATGCATTTCATAGTTTGTTACTGTAGTTATGTCTCACTTATCACCATAGTCGTTAAGAAAACTGGTTGTACTCGCAGCTCCTATTGAGTAAACACACTTTTCAGTCATGGAAACAAGCTTCCAGAGTGCCAAGATACCATCACTACAATAACATGTGCACTAAATACTTGTACTCACATTGTACTAATAGATAATTGCATGAGAAAATACTGAGAGAACATATTAAAAGTTGCAGAGTTCTAGCGCTGCAACTTTATAAATAGAGAGTAAGAAATCATCTTAACAACCCTGCACTAATTACTTTCTTTCTGATTTGTGGATTGAAATTAAGGTCCTGAGTGCAGTATCCAAGGCATAAACTGATTTTTGAATGACCAGATTCAGAGCCATAGGATTTTGATGTTCCAGTGCATTTGAAATGCAGCTGCTGTTGCAACTGAAGTTCTGTAACATTCTAGCAAAGGGTACCAGGGGGCTGTGAGACAAAGAACATAAAAGAGTCAGTGTCATGTCTCTGCAGTTCTCTAGTGACAATTCTAGATCACAGCTGAAGTCTGAAGTAGAGGTTGAATTCTTCAGTGGTATTAGACATGAGACTCTCCTCCCAAGTTGTTGCAATCACATATCTTTAGCTTATCAAGAAAGTATATGCCCTCTGACTCCTCAGCAGATGAGGTCAGAAGTCTGTAGACTGTCTCTTCCAGAACACCTCCTTCTACTATGCTGCAAAATCAAAGGTCTGGCACAGATAAGAATGGATAAAATCTTGTGATGGAAGATAAAATAGTACATCTTACCCACTTGCAGAGTGGTGCACTTCTGGTGCTCTGGAAAATGTTGAAGGTGCTCTGTTTGCACTGGTGCTTGTACCATCAGTAGTACCATAAGAGCTGTGAAGATCTGATCTGCACTATTGTGTTGGGGGATGGTATATGGACCTGGTCATATCAGGAAAGGACTTTGGCAAATTGACTGAAAGTGGTTTAGTTGCTAAGTAGTTGCAGAAACATATGCGTTTCTGTTAAGCTTGTATGATTCGTGACTTTCTGCAGAGTTTGTATATTGGGGGTTTTTGTGAGGGTGTCCCAGACAGTTTAAATACCCCTATTAAATTTCAAATCATTGCTTAACAAACTAGCTTTCCAAAGAGAGGTTTGCCAGCATATTTTGACCTCGAATAATCTTATTTTTCTGTAGCTTTATTTTAAGAAATATCTGTGCACCTTTAGTGGAAACCTTACTGTTCTAGGCAGGTGGAATTAGAGGTGGCAGAAATGTACCTAACTAAGTTGTATTCAATACTTAACTTTAGCAAAGTTGCAAAATCTTGAAAATACGTTGCTGGGAAATACTAGGTAATCTTGATGATTGTAATGTAAGCTTCCATATAATGCCCCTGGTATTTGTGGAAATCCTTCTCTGGAAATAATGTTAAGAAACAACTTCTTGGAAGTAGTTTGGGGGTTTTTTTGTTTGTTTGTGTTTTTTTATTTTTTAAAATTTTTTTGTAATTTTAAAGATTGTGATGATTGCACAAGGTAACACAGGTTCCATTTTGTTTGTCTTGTTATCAGTAGCACAAAAGGGTAAAATAGCGTAACCAACACCACTGCCCAATCCTTGTCCACAGAAAAATAAAATGGAAAAAAATGTGTGTTATGAAAATGAGTTCTCATTTGTACCCATTCCTCAGTTACTGCAGAGCCTGTCTCCAAACTGTGAAAAGTGTTTCTGGTGCCATTCATCATCGCTGAAGTGGTAACAAGAGATCCTATGAGCATTTAGAAATCCTAATGCTAGTTATTCTGGACTTTTTCTTACTTTTGCTTTTTATCCTCTAGCTAAAATAGTTTGTTCACAGTTCTGGCAAATTTCCTATAAGGAAAGCTGTTCTGTGAACAGGGAATTATTTTGGTTTTAAATGAGGCAAGCAACTCCACGCAGCATGATTTGAGAGAGAGTATTTTCCTGGAAGGGGAAGATAGGCCTTTTGGTGACATTTTCCTAGCCTTGTTACCTAATAAGATATAAATACATGTTTTTAGGCAATAGGTTTTCAGCAAAGCTTTGTCTTATACCAAAGATTCTCCTGTGGTACTGTGGTATGTAAAGGGAAAGATTTTCAGTGTTGACCTTGGGCATTCGAAGTGAAGGCACTGGGCTTAAATCTCTGGCTTTATTTTGGATAAATTAGTATGCAGCACCTTCTAAAATCTAATCATTGCTTCGTGATGAGTGACTTGTAATGTTTAAAATACTTTTCTTTCAATTTGTCTGAGTGAAACTTTATTCTATCATGATTACCAGTCCTAGTTCAGCAAACTTCTACAGTGTAAGAAAACCTGCTTGTGGTTTGCTTTTCAGGTCATAAAATTAAGGTTTGGGAAGTTATCCTTACACTTCATCTAGCTGGAGCCTATTTCAAAGACAAACTTAGAGAGCAATTGTAAAATAAAAAAGGATAAGTGAAAGAATCTTATAAAATGGTGTTAGTAAATTGTTGCGAACTACTAAGAATGGAAAGGAGAAGGAATTTCGTGAAACCGTGAAGAATACAGAGGGTAACAGAAAACCCAAAGAACCTACTAGTGTGGCTTTAGAGGTGTCAAATTCAACAGTAAATGGGAGAAAGGTGATGTAATCAAGTGTATGTAGTGTATGTTTAGCACAGTGCAGAGATCTTCAAAACATTAGAACTGATTTAATTTTTTTTACTACTGACTCTGTATTCCAATGCATACCACTGTTAGTAAATACACTGCGTCTTTTGTAGACGGTGGACATTCACAAAGAGAAAGTTGCTAGAAGAGAAATTGGTATCTTGACTACAAACAAAAACACCTCAAGAACTCACAAAATCATTGCACCAGCTAACTTGGAGCGACCAGTTCGCTACATCAGGAAACCTATTGATTATACAATTCTAGATGATATTGGACATGGAGTGAAGGTAGGTGATATTGTTAAAACAGCCAAACTGCAAATACATTGTCTTTGTATATTTTCAGAATAATCTGATGCTTTTAATGATATTATACCAGTTTTTCCTTGCCTGGACAGTGTGTCTATAAACATAAGAGGAGTCCTGTCCAATTTCAGGTTACCCCTTCCCCTTCTGTTGCCCCACTGTTTCTTAACCTTACAAACCCACTGAATCTTATTTCTGAGGACACTTGGGACTGTGAGTCTCACCTTTTAAAATGTTTCTGAATACCAACTTGTGATGCTGCTGTTATTGTTTGAGTAAGTTGCCAGGGATATACCTGGGGACTGAAAGGCTAATGACTGTCACTTTAGTGCCTGAATCAGCAGGACAAAATACCATCCAGCTGTAATTGCCACCGTTTTACTTTAAAGCTCACCCAAAGAAAGGGTTTGCATGAGAGGTATTATGTGCTCCCTTTTCTTCTTTCTGTCAGAGTCAGTTATACACAAAGCCAGTGATGTGCTTTGTTAAAGTGAGCTCTCTACAACTTTTGTGCCACATGGGGTTTCAGGATGGGAATATGACTGCCAAGTTCGAAGCCAGCTGGTTCTCCCTTTTAAGAGTAGGAAAAAAGAAGGAATTTCAGGGCAGAGATCAGACTGAGACACAACTGGTGGCTGTTAGATCAATGTACACAGCAGCAGTAATATCATGTGTAAGATTAGATATGCATTTTTAAAAGCACATCCTGAATGTAAACACAGTCTTAGCAGGTGTGAGCTCATTGTTAACTTGTGCTGCCAGGAAAACAAATACGGAAATGAGAACACTGACAGTGTTAAAGTTCCAGGAAATGAAAGGTAAATAGCACAAAGTGGGGTCATTTTTACATGACAAACTAACAAATCTGTAAACCTGCTAAGTAGCAGTAAGGTAAGATGCTTGTTCCGGTCAAAGTACACCAGAATTTCTTTTGCCCGACTCCTAACTGCATTAGGTTATCTGTGTTGTTCTATTTTGATTGTTTGCTTGAACAGCCATTTAAATGACAGTAGGTTGTTTAGCCTAAGTCTTAAAATTCAAATTCTTAGCAGTTTGATTTAAATATCTTCCCTGAGCAATTTTAGGTAAGGTCTTCTCAACGTCCTGTTTGTTAACAGAAAGTCTCCTTACCCCCATTTCTTACCCAAAGAGTCAACTTCTAAACAGATTTAAAAAAGACAAGTGACTAAGCTTGATTTGGAAAACCAAACCAAACAAAAAAAATCCAACATTAATAACTACAGTTTGATCAGGAAATTATTATCGCTCTTGTGTTAAAATGTGCTACCAATTCTTACAAATTTTGAATTTATGCAGGTCAGCAGAACTCCTTCTGGTTATGGATGGAGCATATTAACCTGTAGGATTGCTGTTGCTAATATTTTAATAATCACTTTTTGCTTTAAGGAGATAATTTTAGAACTCATTAAAGAATAGTTTTTAATTGCTCTGCAGCACGATCTTATTTAGCACTGGCTCTAAATCATTATAATTGATATCCCACTTACCTCAGTGTAGCCAGAGTCATACTTACTGTGATGCAATGAATTACGTTCTTCTGAAGGAACATAGTTCATCAAATGGATGATGACTCAAATGTGTGTTTACATGCATTTGTTATGCTTGTGATATACTTGAAACATCTTACAAATTATGTCTACAATGCACTGTATTTATCTAGAAAATGAAGAAGTACTGTGTACTTGTGAAACAATAAGCAGAGAACTTGAAATCATGCTATTCTTAATATCATAGATGTGTTCCAATCAGGTTAATCCTGTGTTTAGGACAGAAGAAAGAACAACTCTCTGCTGATGGGGAAAAAGTGACCAGTTCTGCTTATGAACCTGTTGGTTTTGTTCTGCTTGAGTAACTGCAGATTAGTTGACTAGATCTCTTGGCTGTAGAACAGAGAGAAAAAAAGGAAAAGAGGTAGAAACTTTAAATTCACCTATTTATAGCTATTTATTGTTTGAGATGAGATACTTTTCCCTTCAAATGAGCATTCAGATGGAGTTGTTGCATAAATAGCATTAAAGTTCCAGTTAACATCAGAGTGCCTCGGTCTGCATTCTTTGTTCTTTTTCTGCTGTAGGGCTTCCCCTCTAGTCCTTAGACCCAGAATTATGTATTTTCAGGAGTCAGAATGCTAATGCAGCAGGTATTCATTGCAACCCCTGAGAAAGATGGCAAACTGAACAGAGAATAATACAGGAGAAAAAGGGAGGATCCTTGGCCAAGAAATTCAAGATGCCATGCTGAGAGAATTAGTATAGGCACTTGAGCATCTTATTCCTTCCATTCAGAAGTTCAAAGCAGCAGTGGATACCGTATTCAGGAGAGGGTACTCTATAGTATGGTTTCTTAATAGGTGTGAGAGAGAATTCAAGTGCCTCTGTATCATCCCAGCAGTCCCTCCTCATCTTCCCTCCCTGAAGCTACAATGCTGCAAAAATCTAAAGAACCTTTTGTATGAAGGAGACTTGCTTTCAGGTTTTTTTCAAATGTTTCATGAGTTACAAAGCCTTCCAGTCTGTTCTTCCTTCCAAAGAGTTCTTTAGTCAAGAGGATGAAAAAAGAAGTGATCCATTTGGAGTGGTGCGTACTGGGGCATTGTAACTGTCCGGAATGGTGCCGAGGTCCCTGCTCGTGGACCTTCCCATGTAAGTGACCACTCTGGCCACTACAGGGGAACCTGCTTTTCCAGCATAGTTCTGGGCAGCACAGACCATATTGGTTAATGCATTGATCCATGGAACTTTAAACTCAAAGACAGATTTTCTAGTAAATCAGATTATGTTTCTTTTTTAATACAGTAGGGTCTCTTTTTGAAACAGATTAGCTACTCTGGATGCTCTACTATTGCGATTCTGAATGCTTAATGTTGTTATAGAAAGTGTAAGAAACATAATGATACATTTAGATTAACTGAGCTGAAAACAGATCATTCAAATAGAAAGACTTGTAGTTTTAAAAGAAATTATGGGGAAAGCAGATATATGGTATTTTGCCAGTAAGATGCAGGGCTCAGTGTCAAAAAGCAAGCACTTAGGCTTTAAAATAAGATTTTATTGTTGGTTAAACTCTTAATTTATGCTTTAGGAAATGTGGATATATGGTGCAATATCCATACAGAGTGCTGTACTTCTTACGAGATGTAATGATTTGCTCTTGATCTTTGTTCAAGAGAAACCTCGTGGCATCGAGTTAACTGACAGCTTTGTCTCGGAAGGAACATATATTAGCTTAATATTTTAGAGGCTTGTTTCAGCTAGTTGTATATGTGCTAATGCATGTAAACAATTCAAGTGAGCTCAGGCTCATTGATAAGGCTATTCTTTGACAGCTCAAATAAATTAATCTCTGAAGTTAATCCATCTAGATCTCTTGATCCATTTGAAAGAAGCTGCCTTTTTGTTAGCACTGTAAGAACTTGAATAAACAGTGTACAAGCATTTGAACATTAATTTCAAAGTATTAATCTAAGGCTTTGTGGTCAATGTATATTAAAAGTTTCAGCTTGAAGATCTTTTGTTCATGACATTCTGCTTTAACCACTCTTTCTATGATCTACTGATACATTATTTTGTTAATGCTGAATGCTTAACTTTTTTCTTTCTTTTTCCTTTCTCTTCATATCCTGAAGTTCCAACTAACCTTTCAATGCTTTTTTTCCTTACCTCTTTTATTTGCTCCATTTATGCATTAAGTGGTTGCTTAGATTTAAGGTAAGAAACCCCAGGGCTGGATTTCCATTCTTCTTCTTCTGAGATTATTACACACGGGGAGATGATTAACATGAATATTACTGATTGTTTAAAACAACACCCGCTCTCTCTTCTGTGTAGAATTTCTGTTGAGTGATTTCATTGCAGATAAGCATTTTGTGATATAAATTGATGTGTTTATGAAAGGAAGCTAACACAGTTAATTTTAAAAGCTTTGTGGCAAAATATCGACTGCCTTCAGCATATCTACCAGATCATTTACAAAGGAGGGATGGTGTGCTAGCCTTGTCTAGACAAAAAGGTACAGAGAACAGATAGCAGCTGAGTATGAGCCTCCCCCTGTGTAATATTCTTTTTATCCTATATACGGTGTAAGTTATGGTTTGATTGGGATTAATGTTTCAGTGTGAGATTGCTCAGATAATGGGCTCCAAAGGTGTGTAACAAATTCAAATCTGTATATTATTTTTTAAAGTTGCAGTATTCTTAATTTTTTCAGAAACTGCTAGCACTATTTACATACTGAGAGGCACTCATATGTGGAAACATGCACAAATCAGTTAATTGTGTAAAATATTTAAGAACCCTTAAACAACAAGCTAAGTGATTTCTTTAGTTGAATATTAAATGAATCAAAGAACTCAGACTGAAGTATGTCAGATTCTCAAGGATCTTAGAGGTTTAAGTGTTAGTAGTCTTAGTGGCTGCAGAAGCAGCAATAAAAAGCATCAAATCAATTAGGCAAGCAGTTAAGTGAAATTATATGATATTCTGGTGGAATTCATAGCACATTAGTTAATAGATGGGTTATAGCCTTTATCGAGTACTAGGATATCATCCTCCTCCTGAAGCGCAACGGGTTTGGGGAAAGTGGGAATGAAAGTTTTTTAGTAGCAGCTGTGACAGTTTTAAAGAGGGAACTGTTTTAGAACATAGAATGCTAATATGTAGTACAAGTGTATGAATTAAAGGAAGTTCCAAGTTGATGTGAAATATTTTTTAGTATTTTCTGTGACTGGAAAAAACTAAAAAAATCCTACAAATTCCTGAGAAGACTGCCTGTAAAACCGGGTATTTCTGTATTTATCCCCATGATGTCCCTGTGAGATTGGCCAAATGGTACTTTTAGTCAGGTGTTAAGTGTATGTAGCATATCTGATAACAATGGAAAACTTTTAATAAATGAGAGAATTCTTATATGTCATTTGAAATTTATTTTTACTTGTGAGGCATACAGTATTTCAACTCACATAATATATAAATGCTTTGAATTTGAGGATGGCAAAATATATCTCCTCCCTGGCTTTTACTTTCTGTCTGCACAAAATGTATACTTCTAATGCTGAGTATGTCTTCTGGACACAGTTCATATTGGATGATCGTTTTCTCAGTGTTCTTAAAAAAACAATTTGCAAACTCAGTTTTCTTTGTTGCTCTCTGTAGTTACAATTATAAACAAGTAATGACTATTCTAAAAAAAGTTTTAAAATTGTATAATTGTCATATATGTGTGAACTGCCATATCTGTGCATCATCTGCAGTGGTGATAAGAGTCTCTTCAGCTTTTCAGAGAAAATAATTTTTTCTATTTATAGGTTTGGAATGGAAATAACATTTTTCATCATAACACCAGTTAAAATATTTCTCTATTTTTACTAGGGTGAACCTGATTAGAAATTTGATTTGAGAAATCACAATATGTCAATCAACTTCTCATTGCCAAAACCTGAGGGTTTAAAAGAAAAAAAAGAAAAAAAGGCAAAAGCAGCACAGCATCTCTCTGTGGACCCAAATTGTTCTTTCTCTCACTATAGTCACTATGCCTCAGGCTGAAAGGAGAAAACTAAAAGTAACCCCAGTTCTGTGTGAATGGGTTTTTTACCTCACTTATAGTGATTAAATATGAAGAATTTAGCCTGCTTTTATTTTTTATGACTGCAGAAAAACCTTAGTCTTAGCTAACAGCTGCAATGTTAAACTGACTGTAGCAGGGCTAACTATGCTTGTGTCTGGGTAACTTAAATTTAAATTTTTAACAGATTTTGAAGAAAATTCCAATTACAAGTCAGAGGAGTATCTGTAGCATCTCCTATCATCAAATCAATTGAAAATGACATTCTTTAAGACTTTTAGTATTTACCAGACTTGATTCTTCAGTTACTTTTCATAGGGGGTAAAGCAAGTAAACTCACTTGCTGAAGCTTCTACTTGTGGTCATTTGCCAAAACAGGGCTGAAATTTGTACACTTCACTTCCATATAAACTGGTAATCAGCTGAAAAGCATATAGATATGCACAGTAAGTATTTGAGTGGCTGAGCACAGCCTGAAAGGGAATTTGATATAGTAGATGATGGGCAAAAAATCTGTTCATTGTCTCTGTAGCATTAACAAGATGAAGCAAGGCATGGGAAGATAGTTTTCATTTTTCCTGAAATTGGGCATAAAATTGCTCAAGAAGATTGAGTAGCTGCTTGAAGTTTTTGAATACAATCCATGAAACATCACTGATGGGACACTTTTTCTTACTAGATTTTGGGCAAAAGATTATTCTTTTAACATTCTGAAAGTTCTAAAAAGTACAATGTGACAGTAAAGCACCACTTTAAAATTTCTGGCTGAGTCCAGCTTTAGAAAGCAGCTCCTCCTGAGGTTTGATTCTGTGGAATATCTGATATTCAGGATCTTTGGAAAAAAAACCTCAACCAACCAAGAAACTTGGTTTTGGTAATTGAACTGACTATGAGATGTTCTTCAGAAGAGTAAAAATGTGGATTGAAAGCTTTGTTGCAGGTAAGTGCCTCACAGCTGCATAAATACAGGGCTTCGATGCAAATAGTTTTTGCAGTCTGTTGACCAGCTGTTATATCTGACCAGCTGTGTATTTCTGCACTTCTTGTTCAGTGATTTTTTTTGCTTGTGAAAATATTCCCAAGAATTAAATTGAATGAACTTGCAGGATTTATCAGTTTTAACCAGTTTATTTCACTAAAAATTTCTTACACGGTGGAGTGCTAAAGAAACTCAGTATGTTAAATGTTTATAAAAATGTAACTATGAAGGAAACTCAGTCGTATGTTGGACTGCAGGATGGTGATTTAATCACTGGAATCTATGAAAAACTAGATGCCAAAAATAGAAATTGGACGAACACAATTATTAAAAAAATTAAACTTTAAATGATAGTTTTTCCTAGGGGCTGTAATCAGTGCTGCATTGTGTCTTAAAGTAATGAGATGGTACCTTTCTAGAACCGGCACTGTAGCTCAGTATAGAAAATATTGGATGAAATACTGTTGTACCCTTTTGAAACAGAATGGTCCATAGGGATACATTTCTTTACAGTTTGTTTTATGGCTGTTACTGTGGAGCTGGATCTCAGAGCATCCTCCACAATGTGTCACTTACCAAAGATCTGGTTTTTAAGTAGTTTCTGCAGTTTCTTCCTCAGCAAAACTTCCAATTCCAGCTCCAGTACTGACAAAGTTACAGCTTTGGTAGAAGACATTTTTTTCTGTAGTGCAAGTGCTTCCTAATTCATGCATAAAAACCTTCTGCAAGGTATCCAGTAAAAAAAAAGCTTAACCAAGATCTCACTAGATTTATTTGGTGTTCCACCATGTAACTTCAGTTGGTAATATTTTTTTACCTTTTTTTTTTCTTCTGTGGGAAGAGGCAAAAAAAAAAAAAGAATTGGAAAAATCCCTTCATGCATTCTGCACAGATCCTGTGCCCTACTTGTCTGCTCACAGGGTTGTCTTCCTGCTTTCACATCAGTAAGCTTTGGTTTTTCCTGAGCTTTGTGCCCAAACCATCGCTGCCTCTCTTTTTTTTTTTCTGGTTTCAGCACAGTGGTTAACTGTTTTGGCATTTATGAGCAAAGGCAGAGATGATCCTCTGTGTTTCTGGTTGCAGGCTCTGTTTAGCCATGCATTTTCCTAAAATAATTTGCAAGCTTTAATCTAGAAACCAACCCCAGATCTGTGGGGTCCTGCAGTCGAACAAACCACCAAGAGATGGATGCATTCCTCTGCTTTCACCCTCTCATTAAATCAGCTGCATCTGGGTAGTTCCAGCTGTGCAGAACCAGGGGAAATGATGTCAGAAACACTGCAACTTCTGGCAAATACCAACTTACTCCAGAAAACAGATTTTTGGAGCTTGACAGCAAGTGCAAATGTGACCTTGAGTTCTGATGGTTGCTTCGGATTTTAGAAGTTTGTAAGAGGGATGTGTGTGGATGAGGATTTGTGTATGGAAACTATATTTACAACCATATGTGCAAAATAGAAAAGGCAATAAAGTTTGAAAGAAAAGGGGCATTAATGGCTTCCTTCTTCCCCCCCTAAGTAGAAGTTGTCATAGGAGACAGTTGGAAATGTTCCAATATTTGTATCTCAGCTAAAGTTGCAACTTGTATAGCTTTAGATTTTCTTTTAACATCTTGAATACTTTTATTTCCACAGATCTGTCTATTTTGATCAGAACCATTGAAATAATTTTATATTTTTAATTTCTCTTCTGTGATTATTTGGCAGTAAGTCAAAGGGGAAGTTACTTGCACAGGGTTGTTTAACTTGGAGCAGCTTGTCTTAAAGCCATCAGTCCTGTCAGATTTGAAGACAACCCTGTCAATTTTAATTACTTGCTCTTTGAACATCTTGCTTTCAATACCCTGAAAAGACCCTGCAACTAAGCTTACTGTCAGTGCGTTTCCCCATCTTTCAGTGTAGTCTTTTTTGGGGATGACTTCTTTGTGACTAAGTTTCTGGGCTAAAAAGGGATTGCTTTTTGTTTGGACACATTTTACAAAGGTTTTTTTCCCATCCTGGATCAAGGATATGTTTATTTGCAGTGTTAATGAACTATCTAGCGGTCACTGGAGCTCTGTGTTAGTCAGGCAAGTATTGCCTACACTTTTTACTATATATGGTCTGATGTTATGGCATCTTTCACCTCAACTGTCCTTTCTTTTCAGGTAGCTGTAGCCCACTGGAAGCTTAAAAGTTCATTTTTGGTTTTACAATGATTGTATATGAAATAATAAGATACTTTGTGGTTAAATATATGGAATTTTATATTAACTGTAAAGTTAACATAAGCTTTAGATTTATATAAACTGTAAAATGGTTACATCATCTGGTGCAAAACAATAGTGTAGCCAGTTAAAACACCTAAATGGACTATTCAGGGGCACACAGATTGGTCTGTTTGTTGTCTAAAAACCAGAGGCTGAGTGGGCTGTTTGAAATATAGCAACTGACAGTTCAGTGAGCATTTAATTAAGGTGTATTTTGTCTGTTTGTGGTTTTTTTTGACAACTCAAATAGGTAGGTGGGCTAAATAGGCATGTTTAATGAAAGAGGAAATACAGGGGGTGCTGCAACTTTAAAAAAAATTCAGATTTTGCTATTTCTTAAATGTTCCGTGTATAGAATAAAATACACTTCATTTTACACTTTCTCTTTTCCCTTCAAGTAGTTGTAGATCAGTGCTTACCTCATCCCTCACTTGAATTAACTTTAGATTTCTTGTTGCTTAGAGTTGGCTTAAAGGACTTTATAATGTTGCGCAAAATAATTTTGTCTTAAATTGACATTACAGAGTACTCTTGCACAGCTAATTCAAGCATCTGTTTTTGAATCAGTCAAAAGTACCCCCTTCCGATACTTGGTTTTCTTTTCCTCCCAGCAGATTGAAAATGCGATAGCACTGGGATTATTTAGAGCCAGAAAATCAAGTTTCAGTGGATTAGAATACTGAATGTTTTACTCTTTACACTGTTGTCAATATTTATCAATTCGCAAATCTAAACATTGCCAAGGTTTTAAGTGAGTTGTTCTAGTCAAATTTTAAAGGAGTAGTTTGCCTTTAACGATGTTTGCAAATACTCCGAATGCCTTGATCACTGTTTCATTTTCATATGGGAGGTGGGGGCAGTAGCCAAAGCTTACGTTTTGGAAGGAAGGAACACTGTGAAATAGAGCATGACAGGAAGAACAGAAAAAGGGATGTAAGCATACTTGTTTAGGTGTGTTGAATATCTCTGTGTCTAAGCAATAAGCATTCATGAATCCAGGCTGTTCTGTGAGCAGATCATGTACTGATTCCTGTAAGGATACGTGCATTGAGAGAGTTATGCTTGGCTGGCAGGCTACAGAGAAGCCAAATGCCTACATTGTGGTAACAATTGTTTATGATTCCTAGATTGATCAGTCAGGAATGCAAATGAGTTTTTGAAAGAAGTTAATTATTTTTATGCAAAATTTAAATTTACTTCATTAGTATTTTAACCTGAAAGAAGGGAAGTGGACAAACTACATTTACGTCACTGCTAAATATTTTACTCCATTTATTTATAAATTCTTAGAGATTAAATTGCTACACATTTGGTGTGGGGAGAAAAAAGTGCATCTTTGTATTTTTCTCAATATGGCTTTCTCTGTATGTTTACATGCACATAATTAATATTGACAGTAAATATTATCATCTGTAAAAAATTTTATATGCTGTGAAAGCATTAAAACATTAATGGATTACTTTGACTTCTGTACACTTTTCTGTATAAATCACATTAGATTGTGGCCTATTAGATAAGCTTTAGTATTTTTAAACAGTATTCAAAAATATTTTTGCAAATTTACCATTCAGTAGTGCAATGTGAAATAACTGCCTTTATCTCAAGAGATGACTGGGAGGTTCAGCCAAGTTAGGCACAGTGTCTCTATTGTCAGTGATTGTGATAGCCTGAAGGCAAATTCACTTTTTTGTGTATACAATTTTTAAAAACCCTATGTAATAAAGAGTCCTTTGAGCGCAACTCTTGACTTCTAGCAGAGTGGAAATTGCATATAAAACGCATGGCCTCTCAATTTTTTTTGTTTGTTTAAACCTTCCCCTACTTAGAGTTAATTGCTAAAGGCATCTCAGTGTCTCTGCCCCAGAACCTGAGCTTAGTGAAGGCCGTTTTTCTCCCCGTTCTTTCCTGCAGGTCAGCACACAGAACATGAAGATGGGTGGGCTTCCTCGTACAACACCGCCCACCCAGAAGCCACCAAGTCCACCCATGTCAGGAAAAGGAACTATTGGGTAAGTGCAGTTACCGAATGGGTAAATGGCTTTGGTGAACAAAAGGGAAAAGAGGGAAGATTCTTTCTTTTTCTGTAGTGTGAAGGTTTTTTGGTTTTATTTTAACTATTCACAAAGATCAAGAGGTGTTAGATTTGCATCCTCTTATACTGATTGTGTCTTTTATGTTTGTGTGCTTCTGCCAGAAGACAGTGGGCATCGTCAGCCTTTCCCAACAGGAACCTTTTTCTCACTGCAGAACACTTACAACTACGTGCTTTAGAATAAAATGTCATTAACTGTGTGGCTTTGGCAGGTGGTGCTAAACAACTGAAAAATGAGTACATGTTCATTAATTAGTTATGCTGAGTGTGATGAAAGTACTTTCCTGTTAAGTCTATGAACTTGACTTTGGCCTTTAGCTCACATTAGTGATCAGTATGTAGCTGTCTTTTAAAGAACGACCCATCTTAGGTTTTGTCTGTGTTACTTAACCCGTTTCCACGCCGTGCTTCCCGTGTGCAGGCGGCACTCCCCGTACCGCACGCTGGAGCCGGTTCGGCCCCCGGTGGTGCCCAACGACTACGTGCCGAGCCCCACGCGCAACATGGCGCCCTCCCAGCAGAGCCCCGTCAGGACGGCCTCCGTCAACCAGAGGAACCGCACCTACAGGTACCCACGGGGACAGAAATGCTCTGCTCAATGTCCAGTCCATCTGCGCCTACCTCTGCAGTGAAGCTTCCTCATTCATCGTGTGTACTGGGGATGTAATTCGGCACGATGAGAATGGGGGCTAATAAAACCAGAATAGTGAATTATGTTACGGTTGTTCACTTAATCCCCATATTCCCCTTAATTTTAGTGCTATCGGTTACAATACTTAATGAATTACTAAGATTGTGAAGTCTTTCAAGGAGGTAGATCGTGATACTATTTTACTAAATGCTTACAAAACTGGGGAAAGGTTTTGTACACATCTTGTCTTCTGCATGTTGAAGGGCTGCACCGTATGCTTGTACGTGACATTTTTGAACAGTCTTTGATGCTTATAGGTTGAGTAGCTGAAATTGTAGCATAGTATTTTGAGGATATTGATAATTTCAAACACAGAATAAAGCTGAACTGTATTATCAAAGGTTCTGCTAGAAGACTAGCTTTTTCTCTAGGATAATAAGTTTCCTGATGTGATAGGTTTAAATACTTCCCTGGAAATCTTTACTTTTTAAACATTGTAAGTACTTGAGAATGGCTAAATAGATGGATTCTAAAGTATAAGAAATGTGAATTTTCCTTTATTATCTTACAATTTCTCATATGAAAGCATATGAATCACAGTCTAAGCAGTCTACATGTTTTAAAGTTATAGGAAGAAGGTCTGTATTTGCTCCATAGGGATTTAACAATCCTGGAATGATGTGCTTTGAACAAGGTTACGGAAGTGTTTCATTTTTGGGCAAGTTCACTAAGACTAAATGAAAAACCTGTTGTGTTGTAGTCAAAGTGAAGAGTTTTACGAAAATCCAGCTTTATATAGATTTATATCATCCTTGTTTCTTTTCTCGTGTTCCCTGTTATTTCTCTGATTTAGTAAGGTGCTATATGAGGGATCTTAGATTTCAGCATGCACAGCAGCATATTCATACCCTGGTGATTTTGGTTTCTTACAGCAGCAGTGGGAGTAGTGGAGGAAGCCACCCAAGTAGTCGGAGCAGCAGTCGAGAGAACAGTGGAAGTGGAAGTGTAGGTGTTCCCATTGCTGTTCCCACACCATCTCCTCCTAGTGTCTATCCAGGTAAATGGAAACTTGCTGTCCCTCTTTCTGGCTCAGCAGTAACCTTGAGCATTTACATTTTCCTAAACTCCAAGGAAAGTCTGAGTTCATTGCTATTGATAGTATGAGTTTGAATCAAGTAGTATCTTCTCTGAGAGTGTCTGATGTGCTGTTATGCTCCTTTTATGTATTAATTTGTTTGTCAGAATTTTTTGCCTGACTGCCTGCATGTGACAAGGTAGGACACAGCACCTTTTTCAGTGGGCTGAGGGAAACTTCTCCATTGTCCTTTTAAGCAAATAAATGTTTTTTCATTGGCTGTTTATGCAGATACATAGAAGCATATTTTTAGAAAATTAGATTAAATGAGAGGCAGGCACAGAGTAAATCTTTAGTACGTTAATGCAAGCCTGAGTTGTCACAAAGAGACACTTGTTCAGTTTTATGGCCTCAGTCTTTCCAGAAATAGGAAGTGTTATTAGTGTTTCTTTTTCCTTTGCTCAACCTTTTCAGTGGAGTGTATAGTTGGCTTGCAGCGTGATCTGAAGTACATGATGCTTCTGAAACAAAGAAATGGAAATTTTTTGCTTTCCTCTTTATATTTTCTAATTCATACAAAAAGCTAAAGTCAGCCATGCTACTGACTGAAGCATAAATAACAAAATGTAAAGACATCTTTCAAAAGTAATGGCTTTCAATGAAAAGTTCCGAGTTGTTCCCTTCAGATCTGGAAAGGGGATTTGCTTGACCCTCATTTACCATCTACATAGGAATGAGCCTTTCTTTAACAGCTCCATTGTTCTCTCATCTCATGCATTCTAAAATACTATGCAGCTAATAAATAGCTAACACTGAATAGTCAAAGGCTTTCTCTAATCCTTGCTAACATATCTCCTTATTAACTCCACCTCTTCCTCCTCTCTTCACTTAGCCCCTGCTGGCTCAGCTGGCACTTCTCCCCTTCCTGCTACCTCTGCTCCTGCCCCCACTCCTCCTGCTCCTGCCCCTTCCTCTGCTGCCCCAGATGCTGCTGCTGCTGCAGGAGCTCAGCCCCTTGCTGATGGCTTCACCTCTCCAACTCCCCCCGCTGTTTCTTCCACACCCTCTACAGGTGAGTGTCTGCTTCAGCTGCTGGCAGATGAACCCAGATGTGATCATGATCCAAAGCTTTGCAAAGTTACTTCAGCAGCAGTGATTAATAATTTCTTTAAAAATTTAATTATAACTAGAAAATATCTGCTACTACCCAACAATAAGGTTATAGTAAGGTTATAGTAGACAATTGAAGGTGTGCTAGTTTTATAAACAGCAATCATTTAATTTTGTAATTTGACTATTTTTACAGTTCTATAATTATTTATTAAGTTGTAATTTCTGTTTGCATACTGAGAACCTCATAGAATAATGATGTTCGAAGGGAAGCAGCACTGATAGTTCTGGCTCAGATTATTCTCTTTCATTAATGGTATAAATAAAAAGTGCATCTAGCAAAGTATAATTTTTATGACTGATCTCTTCAATGCTTTCAAATGACAAGTCTCCCCTCAATGAACTGATAAAAAGGGCAGGTTTTTTGTGTTCAGTATTAGGTAAAATACAAGTTTTTATTATGCAGAATAATATCAAAGCATTTTGTTTTACTATGTGGTACTTTGTGTCTATATTGCAACTTCCTTTTTTTAGTGCTGCAGTTTTCATTTTCTCATGCTGAAGTTGCAGTGTGTAGTAGTTACCACCCACACCACTGTCCTGTATCAGCTTTTGATGAGGAGGTACACCTGCATTGTAAAGATCTCCTTTAGACAGCCAAATTCACATGTAGCTACCTGCATGCTGTGTTACTTTTCACTGTAGCGGAGGCTGCTCACAAGGGTGTGAATTGGTTTGTGTGTTTATTAGTGTTCATATCTTTTAGTAAGAATTGCACCAGGTTCCAGAAATATTCTTGTAATTGCACTTAGTTTAAGGGGCTGTGGCTCATATAAAATTAGAAAACACACTAGAATCCATAACTGTGACTAGAACTTCCTGAAGTGTTTCTAAAGATTTTGGTATCAGAAGATGATGCTGATATCTAAACTACTTTTATGTTTAGAAGATGAGCTGTGGCATATGGGACCTCAATCAATTTTCCATTTTTGATGCACTGTCAGTATCCCAGTTCTTAAGCCATGTTGTATCTGTATTTTTAACAAGTCAAAATCAAGCAGAAGTTAATATTTTAATGACTGTAAACTCACATTCACAATTCCATGAAAGAAATTTCAGGTTACTTGCTATTTTTAACATCTTTTGTTTCCCTGTGCTATTAGTGAGATTGCTTGTATGGCTTCTCTGAAATAAAATATTTGAAGAAACTGGATAATTCACCATTTATGAGGTTGTAGTTTTTGATCCTTGAAAACCTCTTATCCCTGTTTTTAATTTCCTCCCTTCTCTCCAGTCACCACCAATTTCTACCAGTGCATTAAGGAACAGAGGGACAGACACATTGGAGAGATGCATCAGGAAAAATGTGAAAAAACCCATGTACTAGGTGGATTCTTTATTAGCTGTTCCTCATCTGTAAAAAGTGCATTTTTAAAAATATACTTATCTATACAAAACAGGAGGAATGTGAACCTCTAGTTCATGCATTTGCTCTTAGAAGCAAATAACAGAGCAAGCAAATAAAACTTGCATTTTTATTTACTGATGTAGTGTAAAGTTTTGCAAAGCAATAAAAACATAGTGGAGAACAATGCAGGTTTTTTAAAAATTGCACATTCCTTTGTCTTGTTTCCCTGTTTGATTCTCTCCTCAACCACAGTGACCATCCCTTGTTTTCTTGCAAACTCTGAAATTTACTTCTAGACAAATGGTGGAGACAGAATAGTTTGTGGGGGGTAATAACCCCTATGGGTATAATAAATCCAGCTTACATACAGTATAAAATCTAGAGAACTTTATGTGAGCACAGAAAATAGGTTGCTTCATTTATTGCTTGTTTAGATTCAGGATTAATGACTTCAATACAAGAAGTAATGAAAACAGAGAATAAGTTTTAAAGGAGTTGTTTTAATTGACAGCTCCCTGAAAGAGGGCTTTTGAGTATGACTTCATTTATTCCATCCTTTAAGCCGTTTCTAACATTCTCTTCTCCCCAAGACGATCCTCTGCATATCTTCCAAACAGCACTAAGATAAGTAGTATTGTGTTTTTTAGTTCTAGAAAGTAGCCATGAATCCTGGAAATGGCATACAGTTATTTTTTACATGTATGTTCCTTAATTGCAGGACTCTGAAGTGTTATTTTTTTGCAGGTTTATAAATAACTGAATTTGCAAGAAGTTATTGTAATCCATTATTTAAAATAGATAACTGGGAATAATTTTTTTCCATTCTGAAGCTTTGTGGCTTAGACACCTTTGTATTTTCATACTGGCTTTCGTAAGCAGTGCTGAGGACAGGCAGTTGGGAGAGCTGAACGTGTTGCTGTTGAGACATCCAGTGTCCTGCCAGTCTGGCAGCATCCTTCTAGGATGCAGGCTGTCTTAAAAGAAAAAAAAACCAGAAACCTTTCCAAGCCTTTGAAACTTGAATGCAGATATAAAAAGGACAGGTATCATTCTTCTCTTTGCTAATACATTTCCCTTTCTAACCTAGGTCACCCAGTTCAGTTCTACAGCATGAACAGGCCAGCATCTCGACACACCCCCCCGACAATAGGGGGCTCTTTGCCATATCGGCGTCCTCCTTCCATCACATCCCAGACAAGCCTTCAGAACCAGATGAACGGAGGACCTTTTTATAACCAGAACCCAGGTAAGAAAGTTTGTCTGCTCTGTTGAATTCAGCAGTGGCGAATGGAATGACCTTCAGGTCTCTGAAATTTTATGTTCTGTCTCCATTGCAGATCTTGCACTTCCAGTGTGTTGCAGTGGTAGCCGTGCCAAAGCTGCAGTGCAAGTGCAGAGTGTTCAGCTTCCATTACGGCAAACAGCTTAAAACAATACTGGCTTTGTTGCCAAATAATTTACTTTTGATGTCACAGTCCCTATTAGACAAGCTTTAGTCCTTGACTACACCATGGACCTGCTTTGGTGTGGGATGGGTATTTGAGTTTGCTGATTCTTCATTAATCACTCTTTATCTTGTGTGCTTTTTTCTTCTGGTTAATGGACAGTTCAAGAAATTGCACTTGTTATACAAGGGTAAGCATTAGACACTTTAGAGACATCAGTGGTGTTTGGTGTGGGATGAGAGGGAACTGTGTCATCTTCTAACCCCCCAGGGGATGTTATTTTAATGGGCAACCTGCCTTACAGAGCAAGATGAGATATTAACAGCGAGTGGCATGTCCTGTGTGTCAGCATAACATAGCAGCCTTTTATCTGAGGAGTCCTTTGTCCCATGCTTCTGATGAGACATGAAGGTTTTGATACCAGAGTAAGGAAGAGTTTCTCTTTTGACAAAGCTACAGAAAGATGCAGCAAGATTGAATGTTGACTTGCAAGTACTGCAGTGTGTTAGTGTTTTGTTGTGGTTGTGATGATGAGTTTTGAGGGGGGGGGGTGTTTGTTGGATTTTTTTTTTAAAGTTGAGCACTGAACTTGGAATTAGGTCACATGCTACAATCTGCAGTTAAGAGATTTGATCGGTTTCAAATATTACTGTTTGTGAGCTACTCTGCAGAGAGATATGTGTGCTGAACTTGAGAAGGAAGTGGATGGTCCTGCTGGGGATGGGGGAGTGGAAGGGGTTATATGACTAAATTGTAGCCCAGTTACCTGAAATATGTGGTATTTTTAAAGCACATTATGTGCATATTGAAGGCTGAAGGGGTGAATAGGCAAGAAGGAAAGAGTAATAGCAATAAAAGAAACCTTTCAGAATTACCTTTGCAATAAAGAGGATTTTGAGTATATCCAGAGAGTTTTTGACAACTGCTGTGCATTTCTGCTTTAGCAAAGGGATAATTCTCTGCAAGCTGCCATGGCATTGTTAATAGGTAATCACAGAAGATGCCAAATAGACTTTAAATAAGTTACATAACCACAATTCAGTCTGTGTACCCAGAAAGAAGATAATGATTATGGTGATTAGTCACTTGAACTGTAAATCACAAACAAAATACTTCAATTATACTGGCATATCTAATACAATATAAATAAGCAGTTTTAGTAAGAGACTTTTTAAAATATACCTAGCAGAATACAGAATTTGTTTGCTTTGCAGTTACACTAAACCAAGTTTTTTTTTGAGTGTACCTTGAAAGGAGAGGATGCTCAAGCATGCATAATTGATGAAGACCCTAAGAACAGAGGCACTGTTGTGTCTGTAAGGAGCGAGATTAGTTAGTAACAGGACAGAGACCACAACTGCTTCTCAGCATTCCTGAAGAGAAGGAGAAAATAGAAACATAAGAGGTGAAAAAGAGACCTTACAACAGACGTAAGAGTGTGCCAGCTATGGCTTCTTGTTCTTTGTAGGCTGTTTGGCAGTAACACAGTACTGTTATTTCCAGTGCCATTTTTTAGTATGTTGGCATAGTCATGTTTGTTTATTCACTTGTGGTGAGGATGAAAGATACTTCTATTGCCATGTTCTTTTGAATGCCACTTCTAAGATAATATAATTTTTCTACTTCATGGTTAGACCTTCTTAGCAACTGAAAAGAAAATATTAAGAAATGCAGACCCTAAATAATCTCAGCATATGTCTATCCCAAAGCCACTGCTGCCAGCCATACCACCTAACAAGTGTTTTAATTTTGCAACCTTAGATACCAGTATCTAAGCAGTGTAGAGCTCAGCACAGGCTAAAAACCCTGTGGGGGAAACCGGGCAACTACTGAGGTGGTGGTGGGCACTACACCCTCTTTGTACAGCTGAATCCTTACCAGGCTGAAGCAGCGTGGTGGCAGGTGCTCGTGAGCATTTCTGAACTGATTTACAGCAACTGTGTAGTGAATCTATTGGCGATCAGTCACTATGGAAGGATGGTGGGAGGCAACATTTAAGCTGGTATTTAGCTCATATTTTGAGACAGCAGAGGTACATTAAAGTTATTCTGATGCACTGTATAAACAAGATCATTATTAATAAAATATAATATGATAGTCCCTGCACAATGCACAGACTGAAGTACAAACCAAAGGGTTAAGGTAAACAAGGAATGATATCAGCCAGTGTTAGCATCACAATTTTGATTAAACTATACAACCCAAAGTAAATGAAGGGATTTTTTTGTGCTTGCTTGGAGTGCTTGTCTAGAGTGATTTATTTTTCTCCATGGATAGCCTCGTTATTTCTTTCAAAGAAATATATATAGTTCACAACCAAGGTACACTGAAGGGACCAGAGAAACTGAAGCTAATCTCCTACGATAGATACGAATTTTGTGAATCCATATGATGTTGAATAGAGAAACCATTCTGAAATGGAACATTTTTATAGCGTATATAATTAAAAAACCAGGGACTTCATAGTTGCACAAGAATGCAGAATTCATGAATATCACTGCTTCTCAGTAGGACTTCAAATTCAAGTTCCCTTTTCTTGCTTTGAAAAAATGCAAGACCAAATCTTTTCCCAGGTACTGTGGTTACACTTGAAAAAGTAAATACTCTCAGAGGTCATGTCATTCAAGTCAAAGAAACTGTAATCAGAAATGTATTTCAGTTTTTCTCAAGAGATATCAATTAGATGGTGAGATAATGGAACTTGCATTGTATGGAGATACAAGGATATTTTTGCAACAAAAAAGGATGGTTGCTGTTGCTTTTTATTGTTTATGGTGTGTGGCTGTGAAAGGAATGTCAGTGTGAGTGGCAGAAGAAATTCAAAGTTTCAGGCAGTGATGACTGGAACAAGCAAACAGAAGAAATTTTGAGACGTGACTTGTAAATGCCGTGGAGTTCTTTTCTCTTGCTATGATGATGTGAGTTAATTCTGAAAAATACTAGATCATACCTGGCAATTTTCTTACCAGCTCTAGAATTAGTCTGAAATTTATTTAGTTCTGTCTGCAAGCTAAGTAAATGTAGTGGTACATGAAGTGTAGGCCTTTTTCCCTTCATCCTTCTGGACATGATTAAATGTTTTTTGTATGCCACATACTAACAAGAAAATTATTTATTTGTGCTTTTCCTGAGGTGTGCTTTCTCAAAAATAATCTCGCAGCTTGCTTAAAGAATATTACTGCATTACTCAAAGTGATATTAAACCAAGATAAAACTAGTTAGCTGATTTTTTAAACTAGATAACTGAAACTTGTATTCTGGGCTTAAACCACAGTTCAGTGTTACAACATGTGCAGCTGGCTGAGAGTATCTTCTTTAATTGTGAATTCACATATATTGTACAAAGACAACTCTTCTGGTACTACTAAAAGGGCTGTTCAGAGTTCAGTGCAGTGGTCTGTGAAGTCAGGTGGGAAGGAAATGAGGCAGCACATCTGGAATAGGCCCTGTGGTTTGGCAGCAGCACGGTGTGCTCTGTTCAACCAATAAGATCAGAAGTGTTGTCTTTCAGATAGTCACAGTTCTCAAAAGGCATCTTTTTCTGTTTTGTCTAAAATAACTGCCTTATTTGATGGGATTTTTTTGGCCTACGTTTTGGGGGAAAAAAGAGCTATATTCATTTTCATTACTAGGGATTTGTGGATGCTGTTAGTCACCTCTATAAATATCAATTAGGTCTGAAAGGGGGAGGATTATAGGGAAAGAGTCCTCTTGATAAATTTGTCAGTTAGGTCTGTTCATAAAGTGCTATATTCTCTAGGAATAAATTTCAACTTAAGGGAATCTCACAGTCAAGTCAGAAAAATATTTCAGCATGGATTCTTAATGTTATGAAAAAGATCTGGGTTGGAAATTTTAAAAATAGAGAAATAGCCTTGAAGAAAGGATTAGGAATATGCTTAAAGCACCGGAGCCATTTTTCTTTGAATGTCAGTCTCTTTATCTCAGCTTCTTGGCAGCCTGCTACACTGTCTGATTGGTGATAATGTCTACTTTCCTGTTTGCTGCTTTGTTGTGTTTCTAACTGAATGCCTCTCTTTTTAATTTCTGTGGCAGCATCCCTTGCTCCTCCTCCCCCCTCCATCCTACAGGTAACTCCACAGTTACCACTAATGGGATTTGTGGCCAGAGTTCAAGAAAACAGTAAGTTTGCTGCTCCATTGTGCTATGTTTTATTACTGGATGTGGCTTTTGCATTGAGTTGATGAAAGATTTGACTGTATATAGCCAGAATTCTGCCTTCTCTACTGCCTCTGCAAGTTTCTCTGAAATTGTGAAGGGTGGGAAAAGGAAGTAATTTTGTTGGAGGTACCTCATCCTTCCTTCTCTGAATTTTATTGTCTCTAGTGTATTTTCCACAAGTTGTAACTGTTGGTCCCAGTGCAACTAGTTGGGATAGGGAGTATTACTTCAACCCACTACCATGGTTATAGAGACATTTTCATGGTTGTATTATTGCTTATTTTCAGTTTCAGATACTCCTCCCCCACCACCGCCTGTGGATGAGGCAGTGTTTGATGAGTCTCCACCTCCACCTCCACCTCCAGAGGATTATGAAGAGGAGGAAGCAGCCGTGGTGGAGTACAGTGATCCGTATGCTGAGGAGGATCCTCCTTGGGCACCAAGGACATACTTAGAAAAGGGTAGGTTTAGAGCTAGCAGAGACAGTAGGGTTGTGTTTGTAACAATGTTTTTTATGAGCTCCCGTCACACTGCTTTTGGACATGGAGTCTGCCTAGACTCCTTCATAGCCAGTATTTGGTATTGTGGTAGAGGTGCTCCTCCAAATGGCAACTTAAAAGAATGAAAGTTAAGCTACTCCTCCAAGTCTGACTCTCTTACCCTTTTCCCCAAAGGGAAGGTGATGACTAGCAGGCTAACTACATATTTTTTTTACTTCCTCTATAACCCACCTTTCACTTAATCCTGATAATCATACTCATATGAGGTCAAAAGTGAATCAATCAGTGCTGTGATTGTGTTTGGGGCTCTGGAAGCTGCAGTGCTGCATCAGTGTAGGGCTGTGCTAAGCTAGGAAACGCTGCATCTGTGAGGGACTGACTAACAGGCTCTGCTGCATGGCTGCATCTCAGTGTCTTCCCCTTCTGAAGCAGGCGTGTGGAAACATGGTGGAGTAAGCCTACAGGGAAAAAACCCTGAGTAGGTAGGTGGGACACTTGAGTATGAAAAGATCTACTGCCTGGTGTGTGTTCTCCTCTGAAATAGGATCGTGGTGCTTCTTACTAAAGGATGATATAAAATCTAATGTCACAAAGCAACCAGGCATCTCACCTGACTGTTAGACCCATTCACGCTGCATTGGGTGGGGGGAAGTCAAGAATGCCACAAAGATAAACCCAGTGCAGGACATGAGGGGAGGGTGGAAGAGAGATAGAAGAGGCACTTTCTGCCAACTCTAGGTTGAAGAAGATGCTACTATTCCTGAGGGAGATGGAGGAATATGTGGGAGTCTTTTTGTTACTCCCCAACCCCATCTAGCTTGTGTGTTTCATGCAAGGAGTACCCAGGCTTTGCTGATAAGTTAAGGCTATGTCAGACAAAGTGGCTGACTTGCAGGGTGTTTACATGACTTGCTTTATCTACTGACCTCTCCACACCCCTGATTGGCAGAAAGTGTTACTGTTATTCTGTTGATGCACACAGGTTCTTTGATTAAAAGTTGTTTCAGTTTATTGTGGTCGGGGACAGTTTATTGTGGTCGGGGAAGCTTTTTCCATGAGGGAGTATGAGGGAAAAATGCTATCTCATAGTCATAGGACTCTTTTTGCTGTGCAGTTTGGAGGGTATTCCTGATTATTGATATTAGTTACCTGGCTTCAGAAAATCAGGTTTTGGAGTGCAGTGGGGTTCCTGATGTTGGATTTCTTTTTTTGGAGGAAGATGGCAAATCTTTTTCAGGTTGGGACCAGTACAGGTCATTTCAGCAAGTACTGGATGTGCTACATTACTTAATGAACTCCTCCTTATCAGGCAGTTCTGAGAATGGACAGTATCTGCTCAGTTGCATTGTGGATGATGTATTTTGGACTGGATGAAGATTGGAAGCATATTACTATTTGATAGGAGAGTAAGTCTCAAGGTTTTTTCCTGTGTTTTTCCAGGCATAAGATACTCTTTAGCCAAATTCTACATTTGTATCACTATCTTTGTTAGGTTTCTGTTATTTCTGCCACCTGGCCCTCAGCACATCTCCAGTGGCATTTCAGCTGGGAGCAAAAGAGAAAAAAGAGGATCCTGGTGTGTGCAATGCCTGTTTATAGTTTCTCATACTAATGCAAGGGATGTGTGTGTGTGTGTGTGTGTGTACACATGGTCTGGGAAAACATCTTTCTATTTGAAGAAATAATGACATTTGAATGATAGCATATTGTTCTGTTACACTTTTCTGTGTGACTTCTATGAGCTTGTGAACTATAATAGTTTATATAGGTGCACATGTGCACAGATCTGTTACCTCTCAGGAGGCAGTCCAGGCACTTTAGTTTGATATTTACAAGGAAAAGCATATAGGATAGCAAAACTGTATAGGGGAGTCTTTAAAGATAAACTGGAGAAACTCAGGCTTTTAGTCAGAACATTTTTTTTGTAGAGAGAAAAAGTATAGGAAGCCGAACATTGTCTCGTATTGGTGCAGACACCCATGCAAAAACTGGAGATTTGACTGCTTTGCTGAAGTTCGGACAGAAGTGCTTGGCTGTGAGTTTTTTTGTAGCAAGCTTTGAAGCTTTAAAGTTAATGAAAAGCCCCATGCTGAAAGAGGACTTTTATACTCAAAGAATGCATATGCTTATCCTGCTGGGAATTATAATGCTTTATCTTCTGCAAAATAATTTATCCTGTTGCAACTCCTTAAATAGTATTCTGTGCCACATGATTCAAAGCAGACCAAATGGATGGAAGTAAGTGACTGTTCCAACATATTTACCCCCAGCAGGTAGAGTAGCAATTCCTAGGATTCGTACTTGTTCTTTTGATATGACTGTTCTCTTATTTAAGTTCACATGAAAGCACCTCGAACAGGATTAGGGTAGATGACCTTTGCCATAGAAGCTGGGACACCAAGGAGGTGTCAAATACAGGAGGTTGCTGCATATTGAAATGGGATTCAGTATGACCCTGTTCTGTAAAGGAGTCAAGCAGTGTGGGGAGGTACCTTTAACATTAAGATATGCTCTAGCTTACAGCTGAGAAGGAAGCGAATAGCAGATCCATTTTGATGGAGAAATTCTTAGGTAGGATATAGTTACTGGGGATGTTGAACTTGAGGACACCACCACGTGACTATAATAGCAACAGCCAACCTGCAGTGTCCGCGGACACGCACTGCAGTTTTCCATTGAGCTCTGTGTCTGGATGTGTGGCATGAAAAGGTAAGAAAATCTTCTGACTTTGCAAATCAGATGAATGGAAATGGGTATCCAGAAGGAAATTTGCTCTCATACCACATAGAGAAAATGTGTGGTCACAGCTGCCAGATTTCAGTTGGGTAACCAGCCTGGCCTATGTTTGTGGTCAGTTTGATGCAACAGAGTTCAGCCAAATTCTGTGTAATCATTGGAGAACCAAAGATCACTGATTGGAAGAATATCAACTTAAATGAGTAATTCTGTTTTTCATAACTGCGTTGAAACGTGTTCAGATAGAAACGAGAAGAGGCTCTGGCTCAGGCTCACAGGGAAGGATGCCACCTCCTGAGTCACTGTTGCTGCTTCCTGTCTCATCTGAAGCCTTTTTTTGCAATACTGGCCTGGACTCCAGGTAACTCATGGCATGTGACAAGCTCACAGCTTGAACTGGTGGGACTACAGACAGAAGGATTAAACAGCCTTTTAGAGAGAGGAATGTTGCCAGTACAAAAATAACATGCTGGAGGAAGCAATGGTGATGTAATGTTATAAGAGGCTTGACAAGAGGCAAATTTTCTTCACAAACTTAAGGAAGAGTTTCCTTCTTGTGAGCATGAAATAATGAATCCATTCAGTATTAGAAGGGACTAGAGTATACTCAAATGTGAGAAAGAAAGGAATTGGAAGTTACCATGATCCTTGGATTATTATTATCAAAAGAATGAAGAAAAATAGCACAGTGACTCTAGGAAGACATTTTAAAATTAACAGTTGAAAAGGAATTTTGAAGGGCTATAATTGAACAGAGTACATGTTCATACAGCAACTTCTGTTTTTCAAGCTAAAAATTTACTCATTTCTTCATTTGTGTTTTCTTTGCTCAGAATTATAGGTCTAAAAGTAATTAGGATGAGTTACTTAACAACTACTGGCATGAGTGTAGAGCCAACAACATATGTTTTTTAAATATGCTCTAGTCAAATAATATATATAAAAAAAAATCTCTGTTCATACTCTGATTCTCCATCAGAATTGATTTGTATAATCTCAGGTTTCCCTAGTAAATATTTGAGTTGATTCCTTTTCTCCCTCAGAAGGAAATGACCTCTTTTCTTTTGGAAAGAACGATGACTTAGTAGGACTCTTGGATAGTGTGCTTATGAACACATGCTGTTAATTTTTAATCCTTGCTTTAGTTTATAGAGTATCTTCCTGTCTATCCCCAGTATCAGATTTTAGGATCCCTGTCCAACATCTATTTTTTTTTTTCAATGGCAGCACTGTATGTTTCATTGCCAAGTGCTCAAAGCAGTGATTGATGCTATTTGTTAAAGTACTTAGAGTCTGGCTTAGCTCATTTTCTGTATGGAACACATAATGATAGGACTGAGAACAGAAAAATGTATCAAGTTGATGTCTATTTTCTGCCATATCAGGACAATGTTTTATTTAATATTTGCCAGTGCTTTGTCCAATTTATTTGACTTTCCTAACAACTTCTGTGCCTTCAATAAGATATTTTGCAGCTGTAAGAAAATGTCCTGATATAGTATGTGTACATTTGGTTTCCACCTTCTTGGTTGCTCCTAACAGGATTCACCCACCGTGGTGCTGTATACTCTGGGAGTGGCTGCTGGCCATTGAGACTGCATGCATGCATTTTAGAGATCTAAATGTGGAAGTAGCTAAAGTAGATGGAAGTTTGGGACATCAGCCTTAGCTCATTCTTACTGTGATCTGCTATACTCCTTCTTCCATGTTTTCCAGGTCTTAGTTGTGCTGAGATCTGTTTTAGCACATATATCTAATACATGAATCTTGGAGTAAGTCTGAGTGGTCACAGCCATGGGGAGTTACATTCACCTCCTTGTATCATTCCACACAAAAAGTTTTTCATACATCAGAGGAAGTTGTAAACTTCCTCTGGTGGGTCTGGAAACAGTAAGAATAGAAGAATTAAAGGCTCGTGTGCTTCAAAGCATGAGCTCTTACAAAAGGCTTTGGAAGAAACTGTCCCTCTCAGCAGGTGATTCTGCACCCATACTGGGGGGGCAGTGGAGCTCTCTGAGATTGCCTGGATGAGGTAGGGTGATTTGATTTCCCTCCTCCTCCCTGTACCTCTCCTAACAGTCATGATCTGTTCTTTCCTAGTGGTGGCGATCTATGACTACACCAAGGACAAAGAAGATGAGCTCTCATTTCAGGAAGGTGCCATCATTTACGTCATCAAGAAAAATGATGATGGCTGGTATGAGGGGGTCATGAATGGAGTGACGGGGCTCTTCCCAGGGAACTACGTGGAGTCGATCATGCATTACTCGGAGTGAAGACTAGAGGACAGAACGCTGCATCTCCTACTGCAGGAGCTGTCAGGGCTTCCCAGATCTCCACCAGCTGCTGGGGCCCTATCCCGTATAACTGAATGAAGGATAATTGTAACAACCACTCTTTGGGTTTGGTTTGTTTTTTTTTTTTTCCTTTTTTCCCCCTCATTATAAAACAATAGTGATTTGAGTTCTTCGAACAAATGGCTCTTCCAGCGGGCCAGCAGAGGCTATCCTGAGCCATCTGACTCTGAATTAAGCTGACCCATTCAGATGTAACAAACTTGTTGAGTAGCTGATACTTCACTCGAATTCTGACTTCTTCTGACAGGCCTTGGGATCTGTCTCAGGAATCCTGTGTGCCCCCATGGTACTACCACTGGCAGCAATGCCTGGCACTGGGGATGTCCTGGATGCTTGTGGTGAAGGTTACTGGCCAGTGGACATCCCTCCTGTTTCTACTCTACACTCCTGTGCAGCTGGAAGAACAGTCGTGTGCTAGCAAACACTGGGATTTCTGCACAGAGACGTTTCTGTAACTGACTTCCAGATAGCTGGATAAATCTTTAGCGTAAACACTTCTGCAGCTGCTCTGCACATGTAGGCTGACGCAGGGGCACACAGAGCTGGCTTTCATTCACTCACCTTTCAGTTCAGACAATTAAGATGGCTGCAGCCCAGAGGACCCCCACCCCCATTTCCTCATCTTTTGAATGCCACATATTTGTTTTGTGTTCTGCACTGATGTAAATGTGCTCCTCTCCACAGCGAGCTCCTTGCCATGGTTGCTGCCAGTTCAAACAGAACTCACAGATGCCGTTGAGGGTGAAGGTGAAACAAAGTTTACAGGTCCTCCTGGGGTCTGAGAATAACCTCTAGGGGGTGTGGTCCAAGGTTCAAATCTACTCATGCCTGCTTGCACTAGAGAAACTTGCCCCCAACTTTAGTCTTATGCACAATATAATCTTAAAAATCCAATCAGGTATTGTAAGTTGGCTATTTTGTATTTGATGACTAGATTTGCATATGTACTGTGAGAGCCCTGTGCAGAGGCAGGACAAACGGCAATTGTCGTCTTCATGTCTGTTGCCAAAATCTCTTCAGTGGAAGTAAAAAGGGCTGTTGTGTGTACTGGTTTCCCATGGAAATCCAAGCAGTAACTAGCAGTAGTTCTAGCTCTTCCCCTAACCCTCTCCATTGTTTATTATAATAGATATTTTGAGATGTACTGGTGGCTTGGGGTGGAGTAATACCAATTTGAAGGCTCTGTAGCCCCTTGTGATAATACTTGGCTTTTTAATCTAGTCTCAGTTAAAAATTCTGCTCTGTGATTGTACACAGCAGGTCACTGTAAGTGATGGCTGTACTGTCTGCCTAAGGGAAGGTCTAAGTGTTACCTTTGGGTAAATATCATGCATTAACTGATTAAATTTCCTGTTGAGTCTTGTTAGCCTGCAAATTGAGCTGATCCTGTGTTGTGAGAGCCTCCTGGGCCAGGGCATCTTCCTGGGCGACTTTTGACTGTCACCTGGCCAAGTTCCAGCTGGTACCAACAGTAGCCTCTCCAAGGTGAGACAATGCTGCAAGACAATTACCTGTCTTGGAGAGCCCTGTGTGTAAAGCAGAGCAGTGCACAAGAGAGCGCCACCAGAGCTGGGTTTGTGATGGTATTGGCAACAGATAGGTAATACCAGTCCCTTGCTTGGTAATTGGTGCAATACCAGGATGGAGGTGCAGGTTTGGTGCAAACCTGGGCAGGGAGGTATCATAGCTGCTCAAGGGAGAAGAATGAGAAAAAAGACAGGTGAGGTGTGTTTGCAGGACACGGAGGAATGTGATCACCTGCTGTGAGCTTGTGCAAGGTGACAGCAGGCAAGAAACTAGTTTGGTTGAAGTCTGCAGGAGGGACAACTTTGAAGAAACTGGTGTGCAGATAGAGGTTACTTTCTCCCCTGCTCAATCCACATGTAGCCTAAGCACTGTTGTCTTCTTTCTGGAAGCTAACAACATTATTGTTTGGGTGTGTTTGCCAGAACAGATACCCTTATGCCTTTTTCCTTGTGAAAACTTGTCTTTCAGCAAGACTGGGAGAAGCAGCCATGTTCAGTTCCCTCAGCCCATCATTTCTCTTGCAGCAAGCCCAGAACCACTGGTTGTGTAGTCACTGGAATGACTGTTTCTAGTGTCCACACTTTTGGCACAGGGAGGCACTGGGCGGTGCTTGCAGCCAGAGTAATTGAACAGCAGCATTAACACAGCGTGGCTGTGTTTTCCAGGTCTGTCAGAGCTTTCCTGGCTTCTCTTGCCTTGGGTATGTTTATGGCAAGGACTGAGCCCACAATGCTCAAATGCATCGTTAGGGCAGCTCAGTGAGTTACTGAGTGAGCACTTGCCAGAGCCCAGCACAGAAGATGAGGCTGCAGAACTGTGAAAGTGGAATGTGTGACATTCCTTGAAGAACTGGTTTTGGTCTGATGGGCCAGGGGTTAGTTTGGTCCCTGCTGATAGCATGTGGAATTGTTTATCCTGCAAGAACTGCTGTGGATGGAATTTCTGGTTCACCAACTGCTGGTTTTATGCTTTCTTATGCAGTACTAATGTAAAGAAATTTGTTGAGTTTTATGCATATTTTTATTTTGTACAGATTTTAATTCTGTGGCTTCTTTGGGGATGATGTGATATAATGGTCATAGACCAGGCCAAGGTAAACAGGCTTTGTATATTGATGTTACATAGATTGCACGCTAGTAAAGTCTGTGAGGGTTGTGTTTCCAGTTTTGTCCCCTGTACTTCTTGTCCAAAATCTTCTCTCCCCCACCCCTTTTTAATTTACAGGTTTAACTTAAAAGGGGCTTGCAATTGGGGTTAGGGTGGGGGAGAAACACCTCAGTATTTTAAATAGGTGCACAGCATCTCTTCACTGCTGCGTTCTGCTGCCACACCTGAAAGTGTTCAGCATCACAGGCTGTTGAAGCAGGATTGTGTAGGCATGAGAGGTGGGGGAAAGAGATGCTACAGCATAGCCCAAAGAGTGCTGTATGGCCAAAATGAATATGTTTCTCCCTTTGTGAGAACTGCCTTAGCCCAGCCAGCTGTTTTCATTGTGCACAGAAATTGTTCAGCATTCTCTAGGGGTGTATTTTGCCTTGGTTTGCTGTATTAGAGGTTTCTTCCTTCCTCTTGGCCCCAGGGACAAAGCTGTTAATTACAGCTGCCTCTCCAAAATGTGCCTGCATGAGGGGAAGTCTGACTGAGTCTGTCCACATCTAGTGCCGAAGCAGGTTAATTTTGGTGCCTTCTTTCCAGCCTAAGAGAGATGGCTGAGGTTGCATGTGTCTCACCCATTTTTTTTCCCCCTCATCTTGCTTTTTTTTTTTTCCTCTCTCACTGGTTAGAGCAGAGGGCTGAGAAGGGCAGGAGAGGCAAGCAGCCAATTTTATGCTTGAGCATCCAGAGAGCATGTCCATGCACACTGGCTCAAGTAGGCACCAGAGAGCTGAAGCGATGCCTAAACACTTGCTGGTCTCACTGGTGAGACACAGGCAGATACTGCTGCACTGAAGAGCTACTGCTCTCACTAGAGGACAAGAGATGTGGCATGGCCCCAAGGTAGATGACAGTTTGGTGTGTGTTACCAGGAGGCTGATCATGTTCCTGGAATTCAGCTTGTCCTTGCAGTTAGTTGAGTTAGTTGTTCCTGAAAGTGGCTGGAGATTGCTGCTGATCTGACCTACAGGTCCTGTGGTCTGTGGCTGGGGTGGCTTACCCATGGGTGCCAGAAAGGCTCACACCCAGCTAGTTCTTGCTAGAGCAATTTGTTCTCCTTTCACAGCTGCTGGGCATTTTCTTTCTTTGCTGCTGAAGGTTTTTGGTGACAGCCAAAGTTGACATTGGCAGTGATTCAGCTTCTGAGAAGAGCCACTTTTATCCAGGGTGTTTCAGTTGATCATGAGAAGAAAGCCACGCAGCAGCAGGACTGATGAACCTTTTCTGGCAGAGGGTGGGCTGCCTGCCTGCTGTGTGTGTGCGTGTTGTTGCCTAGAGGTGGAAGAAGGTTGTGCACTGACATTTTTGTGCTTCTGTGGTGTCTCCCACCTGTGCTTGATGGTGACTTAGGAAGAGCTCAGCACTAGCAACTTCTACGACTTCTTAGCAAAAACGCTGCTGGAAATGAGCTTGCTTTTTTATTATGTCTGTGGGCTCCAGGCATAAAGCAAAACTCATGTTTTCCTTTCTGGTAAGGATAGAACTTTATGTGGGTTAGTAAACTGGGAGCATTTACAGGGCTTCTCCTCCTTGGAGTTGGGACAGGACATTTTGTAAAACAGGCAGTGTCTGTATGCTCTGCAGGCCAACTTTTTGGAAGCTGCTAGAGGATGCTAGTGAAGAGACCATGGTGCTGTGGCTTTGCTAGGAGCAGTACTTATATTCACAGTATAGAGAGTCACTGAAAAAGCACTGCAGCAGTTTAGGCAGCATTACCAACACCATGTAGAGACTTCAGTTCCCACGTTGGCAACTGTGGCAGTGGAAAACCTACAGCCCTGTTGCATTCACTAAGGCAAGTATTTACAACATTAATCTCAAGAGAAGATGGTGGTGGAAACTGAGCATTAGGTAGATGATGGGCTACAGCTTATAAGGTGCCACTTACAAGAATCTGCTGTGCTTACAGGTCTATTCACCTTCCCCATCTTTTGGCATCTCCCAGTATTTGGTGCTGCAACATTATTACACAGAGGTCAGAACAGTACCAGAATGGAACAATGTGTGGTTTGGGGTTTTTTCGCCCCCTGTAGCTGAAGTCAGTGTGTAGTAACAATCCCATTGATCTACTTCTGATTTTAAAACTTCAAGAATAGTGGGACCTCCACCTCATGTCCTTGGGGAGGTTGCTGAAAGCTTGGTGCAGCCAAGGTTTGACAACTGCTATAAGAAAGAGTAATTCACAGACCACGGTGTTCTGCTGCTGTCATCCAAAAAAATCCCCACCCATGTGTTTTGTTCAATCTCCTACCCATGCAGGAAGAGTTTGTTTCTTTGGTACTCTAAATATACTAATTTTATTAGCACCTGTGCTTATAAGCAAGATGTGTTAGGAAACAGTGAAGGCAGCAGCAGCCTGATGGCCAGAGGTCAGCCTACAGCCAGCAACCTGCTGAACAGATATGGTGACCCTGCTGAAATGTGTGCAGTACGTTTGTTCCAGTTTCTCATAACACCTCAGAAGAATCCTACCACTACTGACTAATAGGAAGAGCTGTGTACAAATTCATTTCCATTACAGCGCCTTGGTAAAGTGCTGATATGTCTGAGATTTTTTGGTAAAGAACAAGTGCTTCTTTTCACATTTGAAAAAAATGTCTTTTGCAACTTGCATGGACAAACAGTTTCTATGAATTCTCTGGAGATGTCAGTGTCTAACATGGATTTTGTCCATGCACTTTTTTCTGAAAGCAGATACCCCCTTTGGTTTGCAGTCAGAGGAGTATCACGCTGTGCTTTTGCTTTTGGTACTGCTGATGCAGTGGATGAGTGCAGAGCCCACTGTAAATGACCAAGCCCATAGGACTCTGGGGAGCTGTATGCCACCAGTAACATTTTATTGTGTGTGCCATTTGAACCACCTTCCAGTGAGTGCAAAACCCAATTTTTAAATTTTTTTAATTGTACTTGGAATTAACTGTTGCTGTGTACTAAACCCTCTTGTTACAAGCCCTAAATAAAAGGAACAAAGCACACCCCATGTGTTCTGTGAGCGTGCCACAGCTGTGTCACATTCCTTGTCTTTGTCTACAGACTTTTCAACACACTAGGGACAGGGATAGTGGCTTATGTGTGCAGGAGGATCCCCGAGGATCTCTGAGCACTGCACTTCCCCCAGGAAAACTATGATCCTTGGCATAGAGCCTGCTGCCTTCAGCAGCTCCTCTCTCCACCTCTGTATGACTGCTCCTTTTCTGGTAGTTGCTAACATAACATCTCACCTCTTTGCTGCTCTCAGGGCCAGCCTGGGAGCAAATCATGGGGGAGGGAACAGAGCCACATTCCCTGCGGTGGCCCCAGAGAGGGTTCACAGCAACACTTACCAGCCAGCAGCTGTTCCCGTGTGAGCAGAGCTGGACAGGACTCTGGGAGCCTGAGGAAGGAGGCAGATGGAAAAGGTAAGCCTTCACACAGGGTCCTCTTTAGACCTGTAATTGGTGTGCACCATGTTACTGGTACAGCCGGCTCTGACCCCCTGAAAAGAACTGTGCAAAGGAATAAAAAGTGATTTTATTTAGAGTGAGCATATCAGTAGTAACCTGTAGGCCATCAGATACCTGAACCCCTACAGAAGGGAACCACTGACGGATGACCTGAGAATATGGAGGGGTTTGAAATGAAAAAGGAAAATTGCAAGACAGAGGATTAAAACAGGTTATTAAATTTAACTACATCTTTATTGAATTGTGCATATTCCATTGTATAATGATCTATATTGGGTATTCTATAATGTAGTATTTCTTTTGTCCTCTCTCATGCTTAAAAAAGTATATTTATACATATATTTATATATATTTATAATATGGCAAAGCTCCCCCCAACCTGAAACTATCAGTCTAAAAGAGCTTTGATTTTTCTTTTTGGAAAGGGAAGAAGAGGGGAGGCAATCCCATTAAAAGATAAAATGTGCAATTTTCTTTTTAAAGCAGTAAACATGAATGTATTTACAGCACTCAGCACAAGTTTGCTGCACAGACAAATCATCATTGCAGTGACACTTTTTCTTACACTTGCGTCTCCAGTATTATACAGAATATTCCCAGTGGCTGGTAACAATTACAGTAAGCCATAAAACAAACTGCTGCTCCAGTTAAGTCCTGGTCCACTGCAGTCCACTAGGAGGCCTAAAATTTCCAATTACAACTTGTGACAAAGCATTTAGTTTTCCTTTTAGAAGTATAAGCTGCACCAAATCAGCAGCAGGGCACTGTGGGCACAGGTTGGATTGCTAAACTGTCCTTTGCCCCCGCCCCTTGCAGGTGTGTACCCAGTTTCCAGTGTTGGTTAAAGGCAATGGATGCACCACATCTAACAGTGGCACCCTGTTCTCTTGCCAGACACATGCAGCAGATCAGCAGCACATCAGCTCCTGGCAACTGGGCCTCTCGAGGCTGGTGCGTACCTGGAATTTAGCTCTGAATGCATCTTTGGCATCTTGGGAAAGCTGGGAGGAAATTATTTTCCACTGTTGGAACTGAATCAACTGTTCCCTAAGTCTCCTAAAAGACAAGTTGCCTAAAAGACAAGTTGCCTTTAAGCATTTAAATAAGGAGGGGTAGGGTCCAAAATCTGTCACTCAAGTTCCTTCTCACTCATTTATCTCACTTAAGTCCCTGCCGTGGGGGATTGTGCATCCAGCGCTAGTTCCTGTTCCTCCTGGTCTTCCAACTTCTCTAACTCCTGTCAGCAAAGATACACACATCTGCTGAACAGAGCTCCTTGAGTCCTTCCCCCCGAGTGCCTTGCAGAACCAAATAATCATTAACCCAAGTCACCATTTTCCCCGTGTTAGTGGCAGTTACTGTAACTTACACGGTGTGGGACGCACACACATTTTCATCTCATTTGCAGTTTAGTGTCTTAAACTTTTCAAAACTACACCAATCCTGTGACTCAGTGGATCACAGTGTTAGTGAGTGCTGCCCCCTGCAACAGACCCCTGGTTTGGTTAGTCTTTGTGGGAACTTTTTAATTGAAGGAAGGAAAGAATTCAGAAAGGAAAATTGCTGAATTTAAGACAAACTTATAATTCCAAAATAAAGCTTAAAACCTCAGCATGTTACAAAAACATCCAAAAGAAAATTATCCCTTGTAGTGTTAAATCTCTCTGGTTTGGAGTCTGCCCCGATTGTGTGAGGGAATGCAAAACTAAACACCAGGAGCCACAAATGGGTGCCAAAGAATTAAGACTCTCACCTCCAAATGAGGAGTACACTGTTTGAGTACATAATCTACACCTTATCAATGCAAAAAGGGAAACAACCAAACTCATATGTTCTGGCTGTATCCTCACTACCTTCTGCCAGGAGTTTATACTGCTTTCCTGGAGTGCAACTGATTTTAACATGACATTAGTTGAAGTAACAATCATACTAAGACTCACTTATCATCTTATTTTGAATAAGAGACAAATTTACCTGCAGTGGTACCACTGAAGCAAAACAATTTGGTTCTATGCCTTATTCCGTAAAAAGCAGAAAATTTCTCTTTTGCCCTTCTGCTGTTGAAATGGCACTTTTGGTTCCTTAAACTGTGGAAAAAAGGATTTTAAATCAGAGGAAAACTGGCCACACATTATCTCTGAGCTTGTTTGATTTATCCAGTTCCCTAAGGGCACAGAAAGAAGGAATTAGAAAACCTTTAAATGTGTAAGCCCAGAACAGTAAATGTGAAAATGCACTTGTTGAAAAAACTGCTTCCTCTCCCATCAGACCTGAAACCAAAGTGATCCAGGGTAGTTTCACTTTGTTTCCCTGATGTGTTAGTCAGTCACTGTTGCCCTGCAAGCAACTGCAGAGTAAGTTCAGGAGAGGAGCTCTTTGGCTTTGAGGTCACACACCAAGTCAGAGCAGTCAGTGGAGGTTTGCCACAGGAAGAAAGCACTGTGCAGGGGGAAGCAGGAACCTCCTCTCCCAGCCACAGGTTTTAAAATACTAATCAGAATCCCCAGCATAGCTACCTCCAGCATGTTACCATGATTTGTTCAGAACCTGTGTTTGTTTTTAAAAATAATTTCTCCTCTAAGATTAGTGCTGATCAAAGAGCCTAGTTTTCCCTTTCAAAGCAACTTCCCAACATCTGACTTATGACAAAAGTGTCTGAGAAGCCCAGCTCCTTGCTTTCTACACCTGTGCTGCAGTCATGGAGAAACCTGGCTGAACAGGAGGGACCCTGCTGCTCAGAGGTGGATGTCTACTGCTGCATGAGAGAGAAAATGAAGACCTAATCTGGAACAGATTACAAAAGCAGCTGTATGCCTTCAGCTGCCCCTGCAGCAGTGGGGTTTCCCTGACACCCACCTTAAGTGTCACAGGCCATGTACTTCCCTCTTGTAACACAACTGGGGTTTTAAGTAGCCTTACACTCTTCAGTATTTTGAGATCAAAGCACCAGCTCTCTTTGTGTCTGAAGTATGAAAATTTAGCTTTCACACGCTCATTTTAATAGTGCTGGAAGGATTACTGCCCGTGTTTGTAGCAGGAAGCATCTTCCTGTGTGTCTGCAATCCAGCCCCTTAATTTTCTGATTTAAATAAATAGGTGCAATTACGAGGCCAGTGCACACAGGGGAAAATAACTTCCTTGCAAATAAGGCATAACTATTTACTTTCATGAAAGCAGTAAATAAACACACCGGAAAACTAAATTACAATGGGAGGGGCAGTGTGTCTCCTAAGCTCAAAAGACAGCCAGGTTGTCTGAACCACATTGTAGCCAAATTTCAGTGTTTAGCTGAGAGAAGGGAAGCTGCAGCCACTCACTGTATTTCTGGATCACTACTGACTTAGGAAGTAAACTGTAACAAGAAGGAATACGGGTGCCACCTTTGCTAACATTCATTCTTTTTGTGGCAAACTAAAGAGTTAAACGTCTGTCTTCCAGCAAGCTGTTTGCAGCCTGCAGTAGTAAGCATGGATTCATTGCCTAGGGAAGGATACTGGGAAAATGAACGTGGGCACAGGAAAATGAGAACAAGGCTCAAATGTCTCTGAAGAAATTGCACTCAAAACATTGCTGTGCTGAGTCCAAAGCACAGAGGTACCCGCACTGAATGAACGAACGTAAGAGGGCTGGGACTGACACACACCAGTGGAGCTGTCCTGGGAAAAGAAAAGCACATGGGGCAAGCAGAATCCCCTGCCTGGCTCTCACCTGGGAGCACATGCTGCATCAGCCCGGATGCATCCTGCCAGGGAGCAGAACGTGCCCACTTACCCGTCATGGTAACAGCTGAGGAGTTGTGACTGTGCCCGTGCCTTTTGCTCCACTGGTGTGTCTGAGCCCCAGGAGCTGCATACAGTACAAAGCAGCAAGAGGACCAATGTTGAAAATTACAGCACCCATGAATTGCAGTATAGCTTAACAACCTTCCTGTGAAGTTACTCACCAGCTACACTGAGCATGCTTAAAATAAACAATGCAAATGCTTTTAAGGACACTTGTAAGCACAAAAATAGTAGAAACAAAACTTGGTGAACAATTTGAAAGATACAAAAAAGTGCCTTTCCATAGCAGTGCTTTAAAAATGCACACAATGGTATATACTCTTATTGCTCAAAAAAACTAGTCTGAAATATTAAAACAATTTCCAGAGGTGCTGAAATAGATTTTTAAAAAATCATATGAAACAGGTCAGCAGAGACAGCACCACTAATTTTTCTCTTTTCATGATGCACCTATTTAAAACTATATAGTTATAGATGTGTCATTTACCCCCTCTAATTAGCAAAACTTTTTTTCCTATTCATAAAATATTGACAAATACATTTATTTTATTATTTGGATTTTTAAAAAAAACTTTATAAAAAAAAGGAATGGGGGACACTGTCACAATATTTCTTAAATCTATCATCCTCAATTACTCTAATGAGAGTTTAGTTTATATAGTTTTTACACATGTGAGGATACTGTCAGGACAAGCCGCTGCCTTTGTTTCGTTCTTTGGGGAAAGGAAAGCATTTAAAGTTTGCTTTGGATAAAA